CCTCCACGCAGGAAGCGGAACTTACAGCTCTGACAAGAGCCCTCCATCTAGGTAAGGACGAGAGAGTGACCATTTTCACTGACTCCAAGTATGCTTTGTCAGTGGGCCAGGCCCATGGAGCCATCGGGAAAGAAAGAGGATTACTGACTGCAGGGAAAAAGCGGATTAAATATGCTGAGGAAATTTGAGACTTACTAGAAGCTGTCCTGGAACCGAAGGCAGTGGCCATTGTCCACTGTCCAGGACACCAGAAATAGGACTCCCTAACTGCCCAAGGGAACAGTCGGGCAGATCAGGCTGCAAAACTCGCAGCCAGAACAAAAGCACCGCAGACCCCAATAATGGCCCTGATTCCTGAAGTGGATTTAACATAATGCCATCCCAAATACTCTCCTGCAGACTTAGAAAGGGCCAGTGAATGGGGATTTAACTGGGTCCTGCCTATCTCAGGATGTGGACTACAGGTACACCAGAGAAGGGTGGATTTATAATCGGCAAGGAAGAATCCTTGTCCCTGAACATCTTGTGGAAGATGTAATAATTCATATACATCAGAGCAGCCACTAAGGGAGGGACGCCACCCCCCCCCCCACCGCCGCCCCACAATGGATTCAGAATTCATTATAGGATCAAAGAGACAAAGGGCCATTCAAAAGGTGGTTCAAAAAGGTATGACCTTACCAAAAACAACCCAAAGACAAAAATAACCCCACCAATATTAAAAGGAGTCCAATCCAGTGGCTCCGGAGCTGGGGAAGATGGGCACACTGACTTCACAATGATGCCGAAAGCCACTGGGAATCTCTGGTATTTACTGGTATTTGTGGACACGTTTACTGGCTGTGTAGATGCCTTTCTCTGCTGGTCTGAAAAGCCTTCTGAAGTGGTCAAAGCCTTATTAAAAGAAATGATTCCTAGGTTTGGATTATCTGTGTCTATTCAGAGAGACAATGGAGGGGCTTTCATAGCAAGAATCACACAGGAGGTATCTGGTACCCTGAATATTCGCTGGAATCTACATGCTTCTTGGTGGCCGCAGTCTACTGGCAAAACAGAAAAGATGAATCACACCCTTAAAAAGACTTGAGCTAAAATTTGCCAAGAGACTAATTTAACTTGGGCCAGGGCCTTGCCAGTTGCCCTGCTACGGGTGAGGGCAGCCCCTAGAAGCAAGCTCCAATTGAGCCCCATGAAATGTGATATGGGAGCCCCTTCCTATATTTTAAATATGGTTTGGGGGATCCGGAGGGAACTCAGATTAAAGGACTAGACACTGTCGGGTATGTACAGTCTTTGGGGGCTACTCTAGCTTGCCTCTAGCAGGTTAATGTATCCCACAGATGTTCCTCTATGTCACCTGAGTCCTGGAGACTGAGTCTGATTAAAGTCCTAGAGAAACTAGCATCCAGAGGACCAACTCCACTCCTGTCAGACTGGGCCCTATGAAGTGCTGCTGGTAACCCATCCTCAAGAAAGCTGAAAGGAATTAAGCCGTGGATCCACCACACTCCAGCCAAGCTGGTCCCATGAGAATCGTCAGACCCACCACGTTCCATCTACCAGAATACCACGGGAAACAGGAATCACGCCCTGGAAGAGCACCGTAGCCCAGGTCATCTGGACCCTGGCTGGTTCTATACTTTAGACACTGACTTCTCCTCACTACTGGCCTCTTATTCCGTGAACTTCCAACTGACCTAAAGTTACTCCTCAGGAAAAGGAAGAAGTCGCAAGAGATGTCCACGGCCAACTGTGGCTTTTACGTCCCAGCCACACACTTGTTTTGAGAATTGCTCTCTTTGTGAAACTTTTCTATTTCTTATAGACCAGCTGTGCATTCACTGCACGCCACGAGGGTTGAACCATTTTTTCGCAAGTGCCAGATAAGTAACTCTACAGCCTATTGCTAATCTTCTAGAACTACTCCTCTAACAATCATGGTCTCATTAAGATATGGCTTCATCTTTTCCCTGATCAATTGTTTCATCCTTGTTTATTGTTGGAAGGATAATTCATGTGTGAGAATCTCCCTATCTTTGGCAAAAGCTGGGAACCTCACTGAGTGTTGGATATGTCATCAGAAAGTTTGCTCAGTATGTGAGCATCAGGACCCTTTAGTAATCCTGTAACACAGTTTACCAGCACACCAAATGCTAACTGCAATTATTCGGGCCCAGAACAAACACAAGGTACAGAGTGAGCCTACTGCATCCTCGCTGCCCCATACCCTGCATGTATAGGTCCACGGTGACAGCTTATTTTACACGGCTAAAAAATCCTTCAAACGCCATGAATGAATTCCTTTCAAATCTTTCCATGATTTCAAAGGAAAGTGTCCCTGAGTGCGCTAAAGATGTAACAGCCTATGGTTAAATAACACACAAGTTCAAATGCTTACACCAGGAATCCAGACAGGATGTGCCCCATCTGGCTGTTTTTGTTTGTGGCTTTAATCATCAGCGCTGGGCCTAGCTGCCTGGCTACTTGGCTCATACAGGGGTACTGTGTTTTGGGGTACCTAGCTACACCTATATCTATTTATAGCTCAGGAGAGACCCAGCATTGGACAAGTTCCTTTAAACTTTTCTCTAGAACTAAGAGATCCATGCCAGGTGATGATACCAGTTACTCGCCTGGCTTTCAAGAGGATGGTGCCGGACATTTCTTTTTTTTTTTTTAATTTAAAGATTGGCAACTGAGCTGACAACTGTTGCCAGTCTTCTTTTTTTTCTTCTTCTTCTTTTTCTCCTCAAAGCCCCCCAGTACACAGTTGTATATTCTAGTTGTGAGTGCTTCTGGTTGTGCTATGTGGGCCGCCACCTCAACATGGCCTAATGAGCAGTGCCATGTCCGTGCCCAGGTTCCAAACCAGCGAAACCCTGGGCTGCCAAAGCAGAGTGCGCGAACTTAACCGCTTGGCCACGGGGCCAGCCCTTGGATATTTCTTTGGACAAACTGTGTTGCCTTGGTGGGGTGTTGCAGCCCATGACCACATGATAAGGAATCTTTCTCTCACCTTGGGGATATTTGCCAACGAAACTGCACAAGCAATAACAGCCCAACAGAGAGCATTAGATTCCTTGGCAAGGGTTGTCCTGGACAATCGGATAGCTTTAAACTATATCCTAGCTGAACAAGGAGGAGTGTGTGCGGTAGCTAACTCGCCATGTTGCGTGTACATCAACACCTCAGCAGAGGTTGAGACTCATATAGAGAAAATCAGACAACAAGCTACCTGGCTACAGCAGGTATCCCCAGAGGTACCACGTCCAGACCGGTTTTCAGGACTGTTTTCTTGGATTCCCCAAGGGATTAGGTCTATTTTTCAGGAACTGTTAAAATTTGGGTTGTCTATACTTCTTATCCTTCTGTTGGGATACTTGATTATAAAATGTGCCTTTAGGTGTTGTTCCAAAACTGTTGAGCAAGGTACAAAAATTCTAACAATGCAAAATGTCAATCTGAAGCCAGGAACAAGAGAATATTTCCAAATGAGTACTAAACAGTTTCATTCCTCTAACCCAGATCTACGCCCCAATTAAGCAGAGGTAGCTAGACAGGTCATTGCCCCAAATTCCTCAAGAATGAGGAATGACCAAAGAATAGGGGGGATTGAAATGGGCAAACAGTTAGCCATTGAGGATTAAGTAGCTGGTAACTAAAGTTTTTTTTTCCTTTTTGTAATTACTGATCATAGCTTTTAGTTGTTCCCCTGCCCATTGTCAACTGTGCTGTTTAGGCAATATGTTATCTGACTCCCACTGGGCTCCTATAGCTAACATCTCCCTGGAGCCTGGGTCACCATGGTAATGGGTGTGTGAGCTGTTTTTCAGGAATTAGAACCCCTTGTCCACTTCAGGTCAGTTGAGACCACCAACCCACCAACTGGGTCCACGCAGATGTCCAATAAGTGACCTTTTCACTCAAGAGGCTAAAAACTCCACCCTTAGATCACCGGGAACACCATCATTTTGTGAATGTGCCTCCTGCAAAGAGGCATGAAGTGTGATTAGCTTGCAGGGATCATCAATTACCTCACCGCTCCTCACCTCCTATCATCTATCTCCACATTTCAGACCACCTTGCCCTCCTACCCCATAAATATCCCTGAGTCCTCATTTTCAGGGAAGCGGATTTGAGACTCATTCTCCGATTTCCTCACTTGGCTGTCATGTGATTAAACACTCTCTCTGCTGCAGTCTCGCCGTGTGGGTGTTTAGCTTTTCAGGCAATCGGCAAAAACGAACCTGGCTCGGTAACGGAGGGACGGACGCGCGCATTCTGCCCCCAGCTCCCAGGCGGAGGGCGCTTCGGTGTTTTCTGTGTGTGGAGGGGAGGCGAGCACTCAAAGCGCAATTCCCTCGCGTTCGCCATGTCCAGATCGCACTCCCCGCGACCTCCACGCGCCGCTAATAACCCCATCCTGGGGCGGCCGCAGGAGTCAGGACCGAGCTCCCGGAAAACGGTGGGCGGACCCGGCCCGAAAATCAATTCACTGCTGGGCCTTTCCGTAAAAGCAAACGAGCCGGAAGTATGCCTCAGGCCCGCCCCCGAGCCGTCATTGGGTGGAATTCGAGCAAGGGGGCGGGGACCCATCTAGTCCTGATTCCTTATTGGCTGAAACCTACCGGGGGGGTGGAACCTGGCGTCCTCCTGACTCTTTATTGGCTAAAATCACGGCTCGGCCCTCGGGTTCTCATTGGCTAAAGTCGAGAGTGGGGCGGTGTCTTACAATCCTCCGGGTCCCTCGCGGTTTGGCGGGAGAGCCCGGCTCTTGCCCCGCCCCTCGGGGAGGCGTAACCCTCTTCGTTTTAAACACAAAATTGAGGCTAAGGCGGTCTTCTCTCCGAGGCCTTGGGGGCTTCCCCTCGGCCGTTTGCTCCCAGAGGCCTTCGCGTCTCCCTGAGCCTAGGGATTTAGGAGACGCGAGCGGTGAGGGAGCCCGGAACGTTCCTTCGCGGAACCATTCAGACGAGGCTCCAGGGAGCGCGTAGAGGAACGGACCGCCGCGGCCGGCCAGACGGGCAGGGATGGCAGCGGGGGCGGCCGACGCGGGGTCGGGGGTCGCTATCCCCGTAGAGCTGCGGCGCGAGCGGCGCATGGTATGCGTGGAGTACCCGGGCGTGGTGCGCGACGTGTCCAAGATGCTGCCGACCCTGGGCGGCGAGGAAGGCGTCTCCCGGGTGAGGAGTCGCCGGGACCACGCGAGAAGAGCGAGTCGCGGGACTGCGGCCGGAGAGGCTGGACCACCCGGGGCAGTGTGGTTTCCTTGGCAACGGAGCTTGAGGCGGGCTCTGGGGCGGCCAGTGGGCGGGGCTTTCCTTCCGAGATGGCCGGAAATGGACCGTCTTTCCCTGGGGACCGTGGGGAAAGGACTATAGGGGAGACTTTGAGCGAGGAGAGGGAGTCCTTTCCATCCCATCCTCGGATGAGCCGCAGCCTCGGCATCCTGGCCACGAACGCAGCTCGCCTGCAGCCCCGCGGGATGTGCTTGGCTGCCACGCCCTCATGTCACGGAGTAGGAAACCGAGGCGCGGGGGAGATTAAGAGCCTTTGACCTATGTAAGAGGAGGACGAAGCGTTAGGTTACTGAGTTAAAGGTGGTAATAGCTAACAACTTATTCTGTATCAGGCACTGTTCTAGGTGCTTTACTTACATTCGATCCTCATTAGAACCCTGCCAGGTAGGAACTGTCATTGTCTGCATTTCACAAGGAAACCGAGGCAACTTGTTCAAATCACTTGACATATGGGGGGCTGGAGTGAGTCCTTAACCTTGCCAGGCTCCGTGTAAGTGCTTTACATGCACCTGATCTTGAAATGTCTCCTCCTTCGAGAGGCCTTCTCTGACTGCCCTAACTAAAGCGGCTTCTAGCAATTACTATCTTTTCAACCTGTTAATTCCAATCTGAAATTATGTTTTAACGTGTTTATTGGCTATCTTGGCCCCTTGGCTCTGAGACTGTAAACTCCATGAGAGCAGGACTTTGTGTAGTCCTTACATCCATAACAGTACGTGCTTCCAAAATATATTTTGAATATTTTTTGACATGATTGTCGAAAGCGTGATTGAGCTCTCCCAACAATCGAGTGAGTTACGTGCCATTATTACTCCCACTTTTGGGGTAAAGACACAGGTAAGAAAGGTTGGGTCAACATGGTACAGTGAGGACTGGAACTCATGCATCCCTCCCCTCTGACGTCTGAGCTCTTAACTGCCACCTCTTCATCCTTTATAAACAGTGAAAAACCTTGAGCCTGTCGTTAAGCCCAGGATGCCGGTGGAGGCCGGTCATGTTTTGCTGTTTTATCCTGACTTATTCACTTTACTGTGGTATTGACAGGACTCTTTCTCTCGCCAGCCCCAGGGATGTTTGTACCCAACTACAGTGTGAGCTCTTTGGGAAGAGATTCTAGTCCTTCATTCATTCCATTCGTGTTTCCTGAGCACCTCCTCTGTGCTAGGCCCACGTCTGGGGCCATTCCCAGCCCAGCAGTCTTGGGGACCTGTGTTTCAGGAGAAGGGACTCCTGTGGGTTGGGGCTCCTTTTAACCTTCTTCTTTCCCTAGATGTCTCCTGAGCACCTCCTAAGGGCCAGGCCCTGTCCCGGGTGTTGGGGAGCCAGCAGACTGGCAAGTAGATGCCGTTGGCCCAGTGCACATTGTTGGTGCTTTCTTATGCACACAGCTGACACTTACTGCATCCCTCTTACCCCGGCTGGGGCAAGCATTCATATGTAGTTGACACATGGTGAGTGTTCTCCATGAATTAGGCTCTGGGCTAAGTGCTTTCTGCATCTCTTCGTTTAATCATTGTAGCAATCCTCGGAGTAGGTCCTGTTATTATCTCCATTTTAAGGAGCAAGAACAAGGCTTGGAAAGGATAAGTAACAACTGGTCAGGGCCAAAGGGGTTATTACTGATTGATTTAATCTCCCTTGGACCTGGAAACATTTGCATATGAGACTGAATACCAAGACCCCGTGGGATGGGTAGCTCTGGAGTAGGAAGCCCTACACAAGTCACTCAACTCCCCAGCCTCAGTTACCCCCACGGTAAACTCAGGGTGACACCACCTCCCTGAAGTGTTGCCAGAAGAGTCGTAAGATTCCCCGCACTGAACGCACTTGAGAGATGATGGCTTTTATTTCACTGGCAGTTATTATCTCCAGCTTTACAACCCCTTAGAAGGAAGAGATTATTCTCATTTTCTCTACTAGATTAAAAACTAAGATACCTGGGTTTGAAAAGCGAGTCTTGGGAATTAAGAGCTCAGAATGAAGCATGACCCTCCTGGCCCTCCTCCGGTTTCCGTGGTCACCATCAGGCATTTGTTGAGAGAGGAGCGGCTCTCTGCCAGCAGCCTTGCTGGTCACTGCCTCACTCTGTCTCCTTTGGCCTTGCCACAGATCTATGCAGACCCTACCAAGAGGCTGGAGCTGTACTTCCGGCCCGAGGACCCCTACTGCCACCCTGTGTGTGCCAACCGCTTCAGTACCAGCAGCCTGCTGCTCCGGGTCCGGAGGAAGACGAGGCGGCAAAAGGGGGCGCCACCACCCGATTCCCACCCTGAGGTCATCTTCGACGTGGAGATCCTTGGCATTGTCTCCACCATTTACAAATTTCAAGGTAACGGCAAAATGCCTTCTTACTGCATTGGGATATTTCAGGAACTGTGTCCCTGCTGCATGCAGGAGCCTTGGGTCATCCGCACAGTGAAGTGGGCCAAGATATGCCCAAGCGTGAGGGCCAGGCGGTGAGGGGAGTCGCAGAGCACAGGCCCCGTCCAGGAGGCAGCCTCTCCTCCCTCCAGCCAACAGCGCCCTACAGACTGTGGGCTCATTGTTGCTCAATTTTCTGCATTCTTTTTCTTTTTTTTTTTTGGAAGATTAGCCCTGAGCTAACATCTGTGCCCATCTTCCTCTACTTTATATGTGGGATGCCTACCACAGCATGGCTTGCCAAGCGGTGCCATGTCCGCACCCGGGATCTGAACCGGCGAACCCTGGGCCGCCAAAGCAGAACGTGTGCACTTAACCACTGCACCACCGGGCCAGCCCGAATTTTCTGAATTCTTAAGGGAAGCTAGAGTTCTATGAGAAACCTAATGTCTAAAGCCATTATGTGGGGCCAAATAAAACTGGTCAGCAGGCCTCCAATTTTTGACCCCTAGTGTTTTGGAACCTTCTCTTGGTCTTGACTGCTCCTGGTCTTGCCTCCCCTCTGAAGCCTTCTCAGATTACCTCAGCCCCTGGGACTCCTGTTGCTTTGAACTCTTAGCTTCCTGGATGTCTCCTGTGGGGTCCTCAATTGAGTGTGCTACCCACAGAGAACACCAGTGAGGAGGCGGTAAGGCTGGGGCTGGGGAGAGGGAGTAAGAAAGAACACAGACATCGTAGCTGTGCCTGCCTGACGAGCTGTGAGTTCTCTGGGCATGCAGCTCAGCTTCCCTCAGCTTCAGTCTCCTTGTCTGTACAGTGGAGGCCCTCGTGAAGATTCGGGAGAGGATGCCTATTAAGGGGCACACGAGAGGCGCTTGGTAAGTTAGTAACAAGCGTCCGTAGCTACAGCTGCCGTGCTCGGATAGAATCTGAAGAGAATAAACATTGAGAAAAGAGGAGGGGACTAGAAAGTAAAAAGAAGATTGTAAAAAGAACCTGGAGCAAACCTGGGCCCCATGGGCCGGGCACTTTGAATGTCAGTCATTATGGCGAGATGTGGCGTTCACCAGAGAGGGCTGTCCTTTCTGGGACAAGGCTTTCCAAGTGATTCATTTTTCATCTCTAATTGAGCCAGCACCTCATCACTCAGTGTGTGTCCCTGGACCAGCAGCATCTGGCTCCCCTGGGAGCTTGTTAGAAATGCAACATCTCAGAATCTGCATCTAGCAAGACCCCAGGTGAGTCATGCACATCACATTTTGGGAAGCATTGACCTAGACCTTCTCCTCACGTATCATGTAACCCCCCGTCTCCCCAAAATGATATTGATTCAAGTGACTTGGAGTGCATTGAGCCGAGTTCACAGAAGCATCTCGGAAGGGTGTGGTTTCTGCTCCTGCTCCATTCTCTGCAGCCTCCATTGCATGGCTTGCTCAGCACCTCCCCAAGGAGGTGTGGGCGTCAGTACATGGCAGCTGCCAGTTCCTGGGCGGGTGTAGCGGAGAGCTGTCCCTCGCTACAGTGTCTGCCATCTGTCTCGTCTCTTCCAGGAATGTCTGACTTCCAGTACTTGGCCGTGCACACAGAGGCGGGCGGCAGGCACATGTCGATGTATGACAAAGTGCTCATGCTCAAGCCTGAGAAGGAGGGCTTCTTCCACCAGGAGCTGCCGCTCTACATCCCTCCACCCATCTTCTCGAGGCTGGACACCCCAGTAGACTACTTCTATCGACCAGAGACACAGCACCGGTAAGGCCCCCTGCGCACTGCAGCATCGACGGTCAGAGCCAGCGCCCTGCAGCCAGAGGGCCTGGCTCTGAGGCATGACTCTGCCACCCACTCTCTAGTGGAGGCCTCAGGCCTGCCATTGGCCTCTCTGAGCCCCAGCCCCCTGTCTTGAAAATGGGATAGTCCTGACACCACAGAGGTATTAGGATTAAATTAAAAAACCGCAGAGTTTTCAGCACAGGGCTGAGTACAGAGAAAGCCCTTAGTGGGCGGTGGTCTGTGTGCTCACGAGCTTGGCTTCATTCCCGAGGGCCCTGAAAGGACGGACAGCTTGGCTGTGTGACGTGGGGGGTTCCTGTCGAGAAGTGGCCGCTTTGACTTAGTCCCCTGGTCATTCCTGACCAACACCCTCTGTACCTTGCTGTCACTGGTCATGACACTCCCTAAGAAATTCCACCTGCAAACATCCCACCCTGAGCCCAGCACTTTTCCACCTCCTCTGCCCCGTCTTTGCCTCACTGTCACTATCCCGGCAGAGAATTCATGGCCATCTTTACAGTCCATCCTGCCTCTGCCCGCCTCCCTTTGCCACACTCACCTCAAAATCAGTCATCCCCCGAGATCCTGAGGCTGTTCTCAGGGTGGCTGTGACTTGGCCTGGATCTTGCCTGCTGTGTGCTTGGTCTCGGTCTGTCTCCCCTCAAGAACACAAGCTCCTGAGCACAAGCACTCATGTCTCTTGACTCAGCGGTGGTTTCTCCTGCACTGAGAGGTGGAAAAGTCAGAGGGACCCTTGTCATAGTCTCCTCCGAACCCCGCCTCCCGTGTGCACATCCCTAACGAGACCACATGTGAGTGCTGGGTTTGTATAAATGAATGCCTTCATTTAGACAATGTTGACACAGTGCGAGACCCCCAGGGTTGCTGGCAAGGCACGCCTGGGCATGTTGAATGTTGGTATTACATTGGAGACCAGCCACACATCGACAGGAAGGAATGGGATTTCCTTTGTATAAAAGCTAAGACTGAATAGTATGAAAAAACAAACTTGAAAATACTCAACTTGAGATTAATGACATCCCCACCTCCACGGCTGGTCATTTAGCAGTCATGTGGTGCAGCGCTGCACATGCGTTTCATCTTAACCCTCGAATGATTCGACTGTTTCCCTCACCCCCGTTTTACAAAAAGGGGAGCAGGGACTCAGGGGTAGTGACTTGCACAGGTCACATGGGCAGCACTGGAGCCCCCATCTGTCTGACCCCCTAGGACTTGCTTGTCGCTCAGTGTTGCACTGTCCTTATTCTTGTGTGCTTTACCTTTTCAGATTACACTCAAAAAGACAAATTTTTTAAATGTTTCCATTTTAACGTAAGCCTGGAGGTAGCGACTTGGCCTCTTCTGTTCTCTGTTGTAACGCCATTGTCGTTGGCCTCTTTTGTTCTCTGTTGTAACGCTGGTGCCTAAAACAGAGCCTGGCCTGTGAGAGGCACTCAGCAGGTATTTGTGAATGACGATTTCAGGTGGCAAGATTAGGAAAAACAGATAAAAGCAAAAGGAAACAGTTTGAAAAATGGCCCCTAGGTGGTGACATTTGTTCAAGAGCTTTCTTGTAGCAAGTTTTAGCGCCTGCTGACCTAGGCAGCCGTGGGTCGTCTCCCCTCCAGCTGGCCGGGGGCTGCCAGCGTGGCTCAAACCCGTGGCCCCAGTGCCTCTAGAGGCAGAGCAGCTGGTGATGAGGGGCCCGGAGAAGGAGTGTCAGGAACCAGCCCTGGTCCCTGTGCCCCTCCCGGAGGCCTTGCTCAGAGTTGTCCCCACACCATGGAGAGTGAATCAGCGTGTCACCTTTGGACTTGAAGACCTATCCCCAAGTGTGTCCCTTGAGGGGTGGAGAGACAGACGCTCCCCTTCTGAAGGGGCACCATGAATGACATCAACTTTTTGGGAGAGCAATCTGGCATAATCTGGTTTTTCCCCTCTAACATTGGCACCTGAGCTAACATCTGTTGCCAGTCTTTCTTTTCTTCTTCTTCTTCTCCTCAAAGCCCCCCAGTACATAGTTGTATATTCTAGTTGTGAGCACCTCTGGTTGTGCTATGTGGGATGCCGCCTCAGCATGGCCTGATGAGCGGTGCCACATCCACACCCAGGATCCAAACTGGTGAAACCCTGGACCGTTGAAGCAGAACAGCAGGAAGTTAACCACTTGGCCACGGGGCCGGCCCCTGGCCAAGTCTATCATGATTTTAAATATTCTTTCCCTTGGCCAAACAATCCCACCTGTAGGAATTTATCCCACAGTGACTCACCCAAGAGCTCAAAGGCATACTTACAAGAGGGTTTGCTGATTAATTGTTGGCAGCAGCAAGAAACTGAGGGAGGCTGGTGCAGTGGGAGAGCCCTGGATTCTGGTGGCAGGTACCCCGTCGTGGTCTGCAGCCCTGACTGAGCCCCGGCCTCTCTGTGTCCCTGAAGGGGATGATAACAGTACACACTTCCCTGCGTTGTTTGGAGGGCTGAAGGACTGAAGAGATTTGAAATACTTAGAACAGTGAGTACCTGGCAGAGTCTGATAAAATAAATAAGCGATCAGTCCATTATTAGGGACGTGGATAGTTAAATTACGGCCCTGCTCTGTGGGGAGCGCCATGTAGCCTTTAAGAGAGTGGGCTCCGTGGACTGACATGGCACGTGTCCAGGGTACCTTGCTCTATGAAAAGGCAGGTGTGAGAGTAGATTCTGCGGCATAAAAATAAACTGTGGTGTGATCACAGAAGCCTAGAAAAATCCAGAAGATTGGGCCCAGAAAAGTTATCTCTGGAAGGGTGGGAGGATGGGAATTTTCTCTTTCCTTATTAAATACTTCCTTCAACAAGTACTAACAGTGCTTGTCGTGGCCTGGGGCCCTCCCCAGAGCCAGGCATCAGTGGAGAACGCGACAGATGGTTCCATGCCGGGCCAGGGGTCAGGGAGCTGGACAGAACACAAGTGACTGGCGGCTGTCCAGATGCCTGTCTGAAAGGAGATAAGACAGGAGCAGGTCATAATGGACAGTGAGTAGGGTGAGGGCTAAGGTGCCAGGGAGGGCCCTCAGAGGAGCTGATGTTTGAAACTGACCCAAGTGATGATGGAGCTGGACAGGATCCAGGGAGAACATTCCAGACCAGGGGATTGGTGTATGCAAGGAATGGTCGAGAGACCAGTGCCCTGGAGCAGAGTTAGCCAGGCAGAGTGGTGGGGTGAGGGTCTCCCAGACTATGGTGAGGGGCTTAGATTTTTGTCCTGAGGAGAAGAAGTGGTGTTTTCCTTTAAAGAAATACGTCGTGGAAAGTTCCAAACGTAGCCCACACTAGAGGGAAGTGTCTGATGGACCCCCACCTACATCACCAGCTTCAATGACTAGCTGCTCGCTTTGTGTTCCCCCACTCCCAGCTTCCCGGCACATCCTCAAGGAACAAGTCAGTGTGTGTCTCTAACAGGGAAGGTCTTGGCTCTTTAAACATACCTGCAGTGCTGCTATCACAGGGAGCAATTTAACAACGTTCCGTAATACCCCACTCCCGGTCCTGTTCCGGTTCCCCAGTTGTCTTGATAGTGACTAGGGAGCCAGACAAGGGCCACAGGGGTTGCTTTTGGTTGAAGTCTTGCAAGCCTGTTGAATACCGAATGCCTCCGCCCCCTTTATCTGATTTTGAGAGTAAATTGTGCTTGTTAGAAAGGAGTCAAATATTACAGAAATGTGTTACTAATATATACATTGTATACAAATGTTTAACAAAAAGAATCAGCTCACATTCCCTCCCAGCTGAAAACACTTGCCAGAGGAATGATAGTTTTCTGGGTGTGTATGGTACTCAGTACTGCTGAGTTTTAAGCAGGGGGTAATATCATTTCTAAAATTTCTTATTTCTGAAATGTTTTTATTATTTTTTCTCCACAAGCATTTTACTCTTATAGTCAGGAACAAACAAACAAAAATATATATAAGAAGAAAATAGAGCCCCCTCTGGTCTGCTGGCCCCTGGCACTGGATGGTAGCGTCTGAGTCACTTCTCTGTCCTCTGGGACCAGCAGGCAGCTGTTCCCAGCCTCTGGGGTGGGGACAAGGGAGGAGGGCCGGCTGTCCTGGGGCCCACAGGCCCTTTTTTCCTCTCCATGTGGTTTATCGATTTTCCAGCATATGGAGAGCACTTGCCTCCTCTCTCAGGCTGCTATCACTTCATCTGCTCCACCTGCCTCCTGGGCACACAAGGACTGTGCGGGGGTGGGGGGGGGGTGGGGAGAGGCTGGCCCCCTGGGCACACAAGGACTGCGGGGGGAGGCCGGCCACCTGGGCACACAAGGACTGCGGGGGGAGGCCGGCCCCCTGGGTACATGAGGGCTGTGGGGGGAGGCCAGACTCCTGGGCACACGAGGGCTGTGGGGGGAGGCCAGCCCCTGCTTCTCTGGCCCCTCCCTGAGTCCAGGGAGGCTGAGCTTCCCACAGCCAGGTGGACAGAGGACAGGCTGGCCTGACGGGATCCCTCCTCCTTGAGGAAGTTGGGGGGCCCTTTCCCTGCAGTGAGGGGCAGAGCCGGCGGCCGCTCCCTGCTGCTGCTGCACTCACAGACAGGCTGCTGGGCCCAAGTGAGCCACCACGACTTTCCTTCTTGGGGCGTCCAGGGTTTCGGAGACGTGTGTTTGAAAACAGGATAGAGAGTGGCAGCTGTCCAATGGTTGCTAATGGAGTCATGTGAAAAAAGGCCCAGTCTTGATTCTTTGTAATTTTGTTTCCAATGTGAAAAATCATTGTTCTTTATGAATAGCAGATTGTATTGAGAAAATTAAGGTAAAGTGGAAACAAATTTAAAAGGTAGTAATCACCTGAATGAAATTCTGTGACATCCAGGACATACTTTAAAATATGCTTCACAGTAATTTAGTGGGTTCCGGGTGGGGTAGGGATGAAATGAAATTAGCCACGTGACAGTCGTTGGAGCTGGTGACGGGCTTAAGGGGGTTCTTTATACTGCTCTCCCTACTTGAGTCTGAGTTTGGCGTCTCTGGCATCCCACCTCACACATCCCACCATGCTGGGCATTCTGGAATCCTTCACCTAGCTGTTCTGTGCCAACACAGGGGCTTCAGAGCCCCTGCTTTAAGCTCTGTGCTGTAAGATGACGCCATTCAGTAATACGCGCCCTTCATTCACCAAGGGATTATCGAGATGCTTCTGAGTCAAAGACTCCCGCTGTCAGAGATGGCTGGACAACGGGTGAGGGGCCTCTGCAGCCAGACTCCCTGGGTCTGAGTCCCAGCTCTGTTATTATGAGCTCTGACGCAGCAGGTTTCTAACCCCCGTGCCCTCAGCTAATTCATGGGGAAATGGTTCCTTCCTCGCATGAGTGTTCTGAGGGTGACTTCAGTGAGTTGCAGAGGTCGGTAAGCATGGCTGTTGTCTGACAGCTGATCGATCGCGCTCTAGTGGCTGCACCCTAACTGATCTCACCCTTCCTGTCTGCAGGGCATTTAAGTGCTTTCCAGTGTTTCACTGGCTGGACAGTGCTGTGCATGACTCAGTACAGTCGTGAGGCCACCAGCCTGATGACAGGAGCCCTTCCCCACACCCCAGCCTTGGGGACCTTTTGGCCTTGCCCAGCCTCAGAGCTCCTAGCCCCAGGGCCTCTCTGAGCTGTCTTTGGCTGTCTCTGCCCCTCGTCCCCAGTCGTCAGCCTGAGAAGACAGGCCCTCGCCCTCAGCAGCCGGCCCTGAGGGCCTCCCCTCACCCAGACTCGGGGAACAGCTGTGAACACGGGCTGCCCCATTGCAGGTCTGCTGGCCCCCTGCCTGGTCTGGCCGGGCCTGCACCTGGGCTCGCGCCTGGGCTCATCTTTGGTGCTCTGGCCCTCATCGGCTCTTCTGCCCCCAGGGAAGGCTACAACAACCCCCCTATCTCAAGTGAGAACCTGATTGGCCTGAGCAGGGCCCGGCGTCCCCACAACGCCATCTTTGTCAACTTCGAGGATGATGAAGTGCCTGTGCAGCCACTGGAGGCTGCCGTCCAGACGTGGAGGAAGGTGTGCACCAACCCCGTGGACCGGAAGGTGGAGGAGGAGCTGAGGAAGGTGAGACCGCCCCTCCAGGGCCACCTTTACACTGAGCACCTCCTATTTACCCAGCTGGGCCCGTCCTCGTTGTTTGTGGTTGGCTGGACTTACTGTTTTTTAAACTGGGTCGTTAGCACATGGGAACTTTTCACCTCCAGATATCACATCTAAAAGCCAAGCCGATGTAAGCCCTGCATCCCAAGATTGAAAATACTTAGAATTCTTAAGAGGTCCCTTCGGGGTACTAAACAGTTGGCGCATTGTCCGTATGTAACTTCAGTGTGGAGCTCCAGGATCCAGGAATCTTTCTCCATTCAGTGGCTGCAACAAACCAGACGGAGCCCCGACTGTGTGCCAGGCCTGGTGCTTCCTCTCGTTAGAGTTGGTCTTGTTGGACGTGCCTTGGGAGGAAGTGGCCTTCCACGTTAACCTCTGGCCTCCAGGTTCTGGGAAGACCCAGGCTGGGGCTCTGTTCCTTGTGTCCCCACAGGCATGGACAGCAGGTTCTCAGTGAGGCCACATTGCTGCTGACTGAGGCCTGGCTCTTCCCTTCTTGACACTGACTGTTCTCTTTGCAGGGGGTTGTTTCTTTTCTTTTTTTTTTTATTAAAGTTATGATAGTTAACATCCTTGTGAAATTACAGTTGTGCATCATTATTAGTCATGTTGTAGGTGCACCACTTCACCCCTAGTGCCCTCCCCCCACCCCCCTTTCCCCTGGTAACCACCAATCAGTTCTCTTTGTCCATATGTTAACTACCACCTATGAGTGGAGTCATACAGAGTTCATCTTTCTCTGTCTGGCTTATTTCACTCAACATAATACCCTCAAGGTCTATCCATGCTGTTGTGAATGGGACGACTTTGTCCTTTTTTATGGCTGAGTAGTATTCCATTGTATATATATACCATATCTTCTTTATCCAATCATCGGTTGCTGGGCACTTAGGTTGGTTCCATGACTTGGCTATTGTGAATAATGCTGCGATGAACATAGGGGTGCATGAGACTTTTGGAATTGCTGATTTCAGGTTCTTAGGATAGATACCCAGTAGTGGGATGGCTGGGTCATAAGGTATTTCTATTCTTAACTTTTTGAGGAATCTCCATACTGTTTTCCATAGTGGCTGCACCAGTTTGCATTTGCAGGGGGTTGTTTCTTAAAGAGACTGTGTGGACACCTTGTTGTGTTTCGAGCAGTCATAGGGGAAGGGAGGACATGGGGGGGCCACTACGCACAGCTCCTCACTGTCCTCTGGACACAGCCAATCCTGAACCTGGCTCAGGGCCCTTCCGTCCTGGCCCTCCACGCTCCAGCCACACCGGCCTTTTGCAGTCCTTCCCCTTTGGCCTTCATGATTCCAACTCAGGCACCGCCCTCGGTTGGGGCTGCTCGGGGCCCAGAGCTCTGGCACGTCCCCCTCTTGGCCCTGCTCTGGCCCCTTTGGTCGTCTGCCTACCCCGCTGCCCTGTGAGCTGCAGAAGGACAGAGACTGTGTCCCTCATGGTCATATCAGGACCCCCAGGCCTTACAGCCGCACTTGACACATGCTCGGCATGCGGTCCATGCTTCCGAGGGGAGGGAGAAGTGGGGGAGTGCGTACAGCAGTTCCTAGAGGCTGGTCCTTGCGTGTGCAGCCCCTGCTCTCCACCAGCTCTCTTCCAGAAGGGTCTGCTGGGGGTCAGGCCATGCTGGGGAGTCTGGGGGAGGTGGGAGGGAAGCTGCGCGCTCATCTCAGCCTCTGCCTTGACCTCCCCAGCTGTTTGACATCCGTCCCATCTGGTCACGCAACGCCGTCAAGGCCAACATCAGCGTCCACCCTGATAAGCTCAAGGTCTTGCTGCCCTTCATGGCCTATTACATGGTGAGTGTCTGCCCAGCTGCCCACCTTGGTTCCCACCTGGGTCATCCTGATCCTGTGACCTCAGAGCCACAGCAAGAGCAGGCGGCCCTGTCCTGGCACCCCCAAGACGGCTTGTTACAGCCCCAGAAAGGCTCTCCCCAGCACCTCCTCAGTAACACATTTGGCCATATTGGGAAGACTTTAGGATTAAGGAGTAATTACATCCCATTACATTAAGTAAAGGGATTATGCATTTTAACATGACCTCGTATTGAGAAGTTTCTAAGGACCAGGCGCTGGATTAAGTGCTGTGTGCATATCATCCTTTTCTCCTCCCTGGGGGGTGGTGGCAGGATTCCCTTTTTGCCTCTGAGGAAGAGCCTAGGCTCAGAGAGGTGACTTGACATGCCAAGGTCCTACAGCAGCGAGTGGCAGAGCCACCAGGTGACCCCAGCCTGTCTGACTGTGGGGCCCCCGCCCCTAACCACGGTGCTCCTGGCCTCGACTCATTTACCTGGGTTGAGTGGGGTTCATGGGGGGCCGATCCACTTTGGACTCAGTCCAGGAGGGGATGGAGATGAGGGTGTCATTACTGAGGTTCCCAAAGGTGCTGGGAGGAAGGGATCCTACCTGTCAAGTGTTCCTGCAAGAAGCACTGGGAAGGCCAGCATAAGAGGTGACCATGACAGTGATGACAGGTGGCTTGGACCCCAGACTTTGGAGAGCTGCCTCTGTCTTTTAGCATTGGCTTTCTAGACATAGGACCTCAGGAGTACCGCTTAGGGCCAGAACATCCCTTTGTTGGGACAGTAATACCATGTACTGCATTGTATTTACAGTAATAACATGCATTATATTATATTTACAGTACTAATAACATGTATTATATTTACAGTAATAACATGTATTATATTTATAGTGATACCACGTTTTATATTATATTTACAGTAATACCATGTACTGCATTATATTTACAGTAATACCATTTACTGAGCACCTACTGTGTGCCAGGCACCGTGGTCAGGGCTTCAGGGGCATCATCTCATTTAATCTTCACACAGACTACGGGAAGAGGGGCTCATGTCATCCGCATCTGACGGAAGACCAAGGTTGGGAAAGGCCAAGTGACCTGTCCAAGGGGACAGAGCCATGTCCCCAACTCTCGGGGTGTCCTCTGCCCTGCCCCCCCAGGCAGGCCACCTGGGCCTGCATCTCTGAGGGAGCTGGGATTGGCCTTGACCCCACTATGCACTCCTGCCTTTTCTGTCTCCAGATAACAGGCCCCTGGAGGAGCCTGTGGATTCGGTATGGGTACGATCCCCGAAAACACCCGGAGGCCAAGATGTATCAGGTCCTTGACTTCCGAATCCGCTGTGGGATGAAATACGGTAACGATTACTAATCTTCTCTCTCTCTTTCTCTGGCTTTCTCTTTTGTAATGAGAATGTATCCACATGGAGAGGATAAAAAACCCTTTCCCTGGTGAGGTCTGTTGGATGCAGAACAGCATAGAAATGAGGGTCCAAGCTCTGGCCCTGGCTCCAGCGTTGACCCTCAAGGACTGAACCCTAGTCATTCATTCATTCGGTTATTGCACAGTCATCTGTGGCCTCTTGTACAGCCAGGCATCTAGTCAGTGGCCAGTCCCTGCACCTACAGTTTGTCACTACACACAAAGTACCTGCATGTGTCCCTGCATGGGCCGTGCCAGATGTGGGGGCTCCCATCACCCCAGTGTGTGGGGCGTGGAGTCCCTTTCTCAGGAGCTGGTCCCAGGGAAGCCAGGTGCGCCTGTAGCGCAAAGGCAGCGCTGTTTGCCAGGAAGGGCTCTGTGCCCACCTTTGCCTGATGCGCCCTCCCTCGTCGGCAGGTTATGCCCACAGTGACATGCCTGTCAAGGCCAAGCGCAGCACCTACAACTACAGCTTCCCCGTCACCATCAAAAAGACGCGTAAGTGCCTCGGCATGCTGCCCATCACATGACGCTGCGGAAGACGGGTATCTGGACAGAGGGATGGGGAGGAGCTTCCTGAGGGGGCCGCTCCAGGGTGTGTGGGCCAGCGCTCCCTGGGGAGGGCGTGGGGCAGGCAGGAGGGCAGGGGGTGGGAGAACACCCCCTCACCCCGTCTCCTGTATTCCAAAGCACTGCTGTTGTCCCCTTATAGCCAGCCAGGTCGTCACCATGCGTGATCTAAAGCAGGGCCTGGGCCCATCGGGGACCACCGGCACACGGAAACTGGCCTCCAACAAGTACAAGCTGAAGGTGGGTGCCCCCTGAGCCCCCAGAGAGAGCAGCTGCCTGCCTGGTTGAGTGAAGTGGAGAGTGGAGAGGAGGACCCCCTCGTGCAGGCCCCACTTATAGTCCCCCGTCAGGACCACTGTCTGTGACACCGGGAGGGGCTTTGACTGAGGCAGCGCTGCCCACCCAGTGCCTTCACACAACTCCCACCTTCCAGGACAGCCTCTGAAAACAGAGTGAGAACTCGGGGCACAGTGGGTATTGAGGACCATCTGGGCAGGTCTCAGAGAGGGAAACTGACACCAACAACTGCGCGTGGTGCCCTTGGTGAGCCTGGCCCTGCTGAGGCACTGGCTGCTGCAGGGATGTTCAGAATCAGGCACGTACATGAGTACGGAGCCAAGCAGACCATCTGGACTCCAGCTGTGGGCCGCGCAGGGGTATCATACGGACGAGAGCTGGGACCCTCTCCTCACAGGCTCACGCTTTCATTAACGCAGTCACCCCACAGTGGCAGCAGTTTCTAAAGGCCTTTATGTGGGCTGCGGTGAGCTGCTCCACAATTGCAGGGAGGCCGGGCAGGGTGTGTCCCCCGCTCGGCTGCCTCATGTAGGGGGCGGCCGAGTGTAAATGCAGCAGGAGCAGGGGCAGAGGCAGGTGCTGTGAGGGACTTGGCTGTGTTTCAGCGCCATCAGTGTCCTCTCGGTGAGGGGCAGCAGGCGGATCATGGCCCAAGAACTTCCTCCTCCAGGACTCTTGTTTTAGGGCGTTATCCCCCCCTCTAGAACCGTGTGCCCGGGGACGGTAAAGGGAAAACAGACACTCAGTAAACCCAGCTTCATGTCAGCATGGCGTGCGGGGCCGCAGAAGATGACCAGTTAGCAGAAGTTGGCGAGGAAGAGGCGGGCCGACCCCGTAGGAAGGCAGGGAAGGCAGAGTGCGGCACAGGCTGGTGCGTGCCGCATGCCTTGAGCGCCTGGCCTGCCGCGCAGGCAGCCCATGGTGCCAGGGCCACATGAGGGCAGGGCTGCTTCGTCTGCCCTCCCGGAACCTCCTGGGGAGTCGGAGCTTGTTTTCTCCGCATCTGCTCCCCAGCCTCTGGCCTGTCTGCCCACCTGGGTCCAGGGAGAAGAGACAGGCCTGCCAGGTCCTGGGGACAGCTGACTCCCTGGAGAGGCCCCTTGGGAAGCCCCAGTGTGAGGGTCTCCAACAGTGCCCGCCCCCAGGGGAGAGCTCCTGCTGACCTTCCAACTCTCCCCCCTCCCCAGGACTCGGTCTACATCTTCCGGGAGGGGGCCTTGCCGCCGTACCGACAGATGTTCTACCAGTTATGCGACCTGAGTGTGGAAGAGTACGTACATGGGTGCCGAGACGCCAAGGGGGGGCCGTGGCCTTGGGTCAGTGCTGGGAAACCGTCCAGGGACCAAAGTGTTTCCTGTACCTCTTCCAATTCCTGTCAGCCTTAATCTCTCAGCGGGAAGACTTGCCTGGCTAGGGGGCCAGGGCCGCCCGGAGACTCCTCTGTGTCTGGGCTGGCACAGCCCTCTGGGCAGCTCCAGCATCCACACGGGCTGTGCCTCCCAGCTGCAGTGCTGGGCTGGGCGGAGACACATCTTGCTCTTGAGTCTTTGCCCCTCCTTCTCCGTTGCCCACCTAAGGGCTCATGACATGGTTCCTAATCTTCCTGGAGCCGACCAGAATCCCAGACACCTTTAATCCGGTTGTTCTTGGTGATGTTTAAAAAACAGGGAGGGGTGTTGGGGTGGCAGGAGACGGGAGCACAATCCACACGGCTCGGAATCTGGAGACAGCTGTGAACTCTTACCGGCAGGGTGGGCACGGGCACGCCACGCTTTTGCAGTTTGGGGTCAGGGCCACATGGTTAAGGACCCCAGCTGGGAGGACAGCTTTCACGGGCATTCTTCGTTACCATGTTCATTCCGCTGGTCGTCCCTCCAAGTGCCGTTTTTCTGAGCCCAACCTCACCTTTGCCAACACCGCTTGCTGGCATCTATTAGTAGGAACCCCACTCTGGAACTTGACATCCCAAACTCCTAGGCTGCAGAAGATCATTCACCGCAATGACGGGGCTGAGGATTCCTGCACAGAAAGGGATGGGTGGTGCCTCCCCAAGACCAGCGACGAACTGAGGAACGCTATGACCCTGATGATCCGGCAAACCATCCGCTCCAAGAGGCCTGGTGAGAGCCCCTCAGGGTGAAGGGAGGCCCCAGATGCCTTGGGCCCCACTCGGGACAGAAGTGTCCCCAAGGAACCCATTTCATGAAGAATTGCTGCCAGCTGGGATCATCTTGTCCCTGTCGCTGGTGAGAGGGAGGCCTTGTGAGCCAGGGCTCGGCCCAGGAGCCAGCATCCCTCGGGCTGCCTGCTGAGGCTGCGCGGGTGGGAGGAGTGGCACTCAGCCCTGGGGATCTAAGGCAGGAGACAGGCCCAGAGCGGAGGGGCTGGAGCAGGGCTGGGGCTGCCATCCAGGGCCACCACTTTATGCCTCACCCCATCCTACATCTTCCAGCCACATGTGAGTGTGTTCTGCCTGTCTTCTTCCACTGGGAGAGCAGGGACAACAGGAACCTGGGTCCTCTCACCCTGCACTGCCTGCCCTTCCCCCAGACCAGGCAGCCCTGGCGACTGGGCATGTGAGGAAGGGGCGTGAGCACTTGCTGGGCTACGGTCCCGTGAGGCTGGGAAAGGATAAGCACCGGGCCCCTCTCGGGGGCTCCTCCAGGCTTGGGGAGAGGGAGTCCCAGGACCCGCCATGCCCCACGGAGCTGACGGGAGCAGGGTTCTGGCCTCATTTGGGACACAGCCCCCTCAGAGAACCTAATGGAGGCTGTGGACCCCCTCCCCAGAGAAAGCACTCCCACAAAATGTTGTGCACACTCGCAGGGAGTCCATTGGACCCCTGAAGTGGCCCGAGGTCCCTCTGGGGAAGTGCGGAGACCCAGGCCCCCCCAGGCATCCATACTTCCCAAAGCAGCTTCTCCAAAGCTTGGGCCCAGACCCCCGTAACTGTAAACAGGCCTCCAGGAGCCTGAGAGCCTGGTCTGGGGGCTGGGCTCCCTGGCACCTCTCTCTAGCTGAGGCCAGCAAAAGCTGGTCTGGGGGCCACCCAGGAGGCCTGCGTTGGGACACACATGACCTTGTTTCTTGGCCCCAGCTCTCTTCTCTAGCCCGACCAAGGCTGACAGTGGTAAAGAGCAGCTGACGTATGAGTCTGGGGAAGATGAAGAGGAGGATGATGAAGAGGAGGAGGAAGAGGACTTCAAGCCATCAGATGGGAGTGAGAACGAGATGGAGACGGAGATTCTGGACTATGTGTGACGCAGCCCCAGACCCAAGGCTGGGCCTGCCTGACCAGACAAGACTGGTGTCCAGCCTGATGAGGGAGCCAGGACAAGCCAGGGCTCCCCAGTGTTCCCCACAGGAGCCAGAACGGCCCTAGGAGGCCCCTCTGACCCTGGATGTCTGGGGACATCCCCGAAGGTTGTGCCCTGGCTTCATGCAGCCGTGAGCCAGCTCAGTGTCCAGCGGGCTGAGCCGATGCCCGGCACCTCTCTCTGGCTGAGACCAGCAAAGCTGGAGGTGGAGATGGTGCAGCTAGGGGAGGAGCTGGTCTTGGCTTTGGTCTCATGACTGATGGCAGGGATAGCATGAGGAGCCTGGTCTGTGGTTATAGATGGCGGAAGACTGTCCTTGGGTCGGTCTTCCCATCCATTTGGGGTAGACTGGCAAAGGCCAGGCCCAGCTGGAATTGTTCTTATTAAGTACATTTTCCCAAGGAGTCTTGGTGTCTTAGTCAGGGTGTCGGAGCCAGAGGGGAGTTTCCTTTGCCTTGGGCTCCCACCAGACCATCATTTGTTCCTTCAGTCATTCATTCAGTGACCTCATGCTGGGCGATGCCCGGACAGTTGAGAACAGGCCTGCTGCCCCTCGCCAGGCAGGTCGGGTGAGGGCAACTGAAGTAACCTCAGGGCCCTGGTCCCGGAGGGTCCTGCAGCCTTGTGTTTATCCCTTACTGCCCCAGATGGGTGCGTGTCTGTCTGATTTGCAGTGTCTGCCTCATGTGACATCGACAAGTGCATTTGCCCTGACAGAATGTGCTCCAGCTCAGAAAAACATTTTTAAAAAGTATTTGCCTAAGTTCTCTTTGCTATTAAATCAGTTGAGTTAGTTTTCTACTGTGTCAGTTATATCAATTCAGAACTTTGATACTTCCAGCCTAGACTTTTTGGAAGGTCATAGATGCTCCAAGCATCTAATGATGACCATGGAATCTTTCTTCAGAAAAATATGCATACCCACAAATATATGCATCCAATTTCAGGGGCATCCAGGCCCCCATGGTCTGTCCTTGAACTTCCTTATGGGTCCATGGACCAGGATTCAAAACTCCCAGTGTCGACTTTTGGATTAAATTTTCTCCCCAAATTACCAGAGTGCAGCTGATGGGTAACAAGTGCACCGCCCCTCGTTCTGTCTGGCTCTCCCGTCCCAGCCTTCAGTAGTCAGAAGATTGCCTGAGGAAAAGCAGCAGCCGAGGCCACGGCATAGGAGATCCCATGCAGTCCACACCAGGGGCCAGAGGCAGCCCGGGCACACAGGTCAGCCAAGGGCTGGGGTCTCAGGGCTCTCAGGAGACCTATTAAAGAAAGATCAGAGCTGGACAGTAGTTAAAGGGGTAAAAACAGAGTTTTTTTAGGACTATTGCAATAGGGGGTCTGGAACCAGGCTTAATTCCAGATACAGCATGGGCATGTGGGACCTTACAGCCGAGGAGCAGGTGGGCTGAGGGATGGAAAGGCAAGAGGGGACGGCAGGGTGAAGGGGATTCTGGCTAAACCGACCTAACAGGATTCTTGCTGAAGACAGGCCAGGGTGATCAGAGATCGTCTGGGGGATGGTGGAGGAGGGAGGGCCCCGATCAGATATCCAGGGTGGTCAGATATGGAGGGTGGGGGATTCCGGTTAGACCAACCTAGCAGGATTCTTGCTAAAATTGGACCACACAGAGATGCCTAGTTGAAAGAGTTCAGGGGAGCCTGAGTAGAGCTTGGTCAAGGAGAGAAACTGTCAGATGGCAGACACTCGCCAAACCTTTTTTGGCTGAAATTAATGCCCCTAAAGTCAGCTCTCTAAAGCAGGATCAACTAATGGACACATTCGACAAGTGTAGACAGGAAGCCAGCTGGCGACTTTTCTCACTGGGTGGACACTGTCAGTCTCTTCTGGATATTTCTGGGCATGCTGATTCAGTGTTTGTTGACCTACTCTGTGCAGGACCATGTGGGGCCCCTTACTGTTACATGAATCAGTAACCACCCTCATTGTTGAGTGCAGGCCTCCTTTCCCTCACCCCACCTGGCCTCCGCCCCTGCCTTTCCTTCTCCACTGCTATAAATAACCGCAGTGACTATCGTCTCACGCAGGGCTTCCCCCTCCCCCACATGCAGAGTTACTTCCTTCAGGATGGGTTCTCGGAATTGGAAGAGCTGGGCAAAAGGTGTGTGCCAACGAGTGCACTTACTCATCCGCAGCAGCACCCCACAGACCCTTTGCTCCCGTCCCCATACGCCTAGCCGAAGCCACTCACCCTAGACCGGCCTGCACGGCCCCTTCTTCCCAGTGTCCTAACTCTTCCCTCCCACCCACAGCAGCCCGCCCCTCCCCACCTTTCTCCATCCGCTCTCCATCACCAGAAATCTGGGCACCAGATGGGGTAGCTGTGTATCTGTAGAGCCACATGGGTCTTGGTGACAGCCACAGGCCTGATGTAAGCAGGGTCTGGATTAGAAGCAGTCTGCCGGACAGCGAAGGGGCTGCCAGGGCCCAGCCTGAGGGGCTGCTGGCCTGGGAGGGCTCTGGCTGTGCCCTGACTCCTGAACCACTCCATCCCTGGAGATGGCCCTGCAGGGGAGCCGGAGCGTCCTCTGTGAGAGGTGACCTGGGATGCAGCCAGCCAACTCAAAGGCGCACTTTTTAGGCCTTGTCCAGGGGGGTGGTCTTTCACTTTTTTTTTTGTAAAGATTGGCATCTGAGCTAACAACTGTTGCCAATCTTCTTTTTTTTCCTGCTTTTTCTCCCCAAACACCCCCAATACACAGTTGCATATTTTAGTTGTGGGTCCTTCTAGTTGTGGCATGTGGGACACTGCCTCATCATGGCCAGATGAGCAGTGCCATGTCCGTGCCCAGGATCCGAACCTGCAAAACCCTGGGCCACCGAAGTGGAACGCGCAAACAACCACTCAGCCATGGGGCTGGCCCCAGTCTTTCACTTTTTAATAACCCTCTCTGGTTACCAAAGCAATACACATTCACAGGAAATAGGAGTGGCCTCCTTTGCTATTATCTCATACCTCCCTCTCTCTGCTGGGTTCCCCTCTCTAGGGGCTATGCCCCAGTCTCTGCTCTGCCCATTTCCATGGCCGGGAAGCCCAGCCCTTCCTTTTCCTCAGGGAAACCCTCAAGGCTAGGCTGGAGTCCCCTTTCCCTACCTCCCCTGTGTCCACCCAAGCCTCTTGTCCTCCTTTCCCTCCCAGGACTTGTCATGCTGCAAGGAAGGCCTGCCCGACACCCCACAGGCAGGATGGCCTTGTGCTGCTCTGGGTCCCCACAGCCAACTCAAACTGCACACCCAGTGAGCCCTCCGTAACAAGGATCACCCCGTAGCACACAGCCATCTCTCCCAAAAGTCACACGCCCAGTCCCCTGTAAACTCCCTCTGCTGAGCTTGGGGGGCAGGCAGGGCATGGGGACGAAGCATGTGCATTTCTCTGAGGGTGGAACCAAGCCCTTGTAAATAGGCTAGAACGCAGGACATTGTGCACCCAGCCGAGCCCCAGCCCTCGCAGCGCCCCCTTGCCACCTGCCTCTGCTCCCAGGCAGGCAGTAACCTGCACAGGTGCACTGTGGGCACCAGGGCACCCACGAGCAGCCAGCCCTGGGAAGGATGGACGGTCCCTGCACCTGCACATGTGTCTGTGTGCGTGCGCACCTGTGTGCGACCTTTCCCAGCCTCAGCCCAGCTGGAAACAGCAGATGTCTCCTGGCCCGAGATACACTGCCTGGAGTGTGGCCAGCCTGCAGGAATGGGCAGAGGTAAGAGGGGAGGAAAGGGACCCTCTGCAGGCAGCTGCCAACTTGGGCTCCCGGCTCGCTCCAGCCCCATAAATACCCGGGGCCAGGAGGGAGGGCCACACAGAGGCAGGCACACACCATGGGACACCTGGAGCTGGCCGTCTTGGGCCTCACCTGCTGCTTGGCAGTAGTGAGTGCTGCAAAGGTGAGAAGCCACTAGAGGGGCAGGGGCCATTGTCTCCTGCCAAACCAGATCTGGCAACGGGACAGCATAGCGGAGGGCAGCCAGAGTCACGGGCAGAAAGAACCAGCCTGAGAAAGAGAACCTCAGGTTGCCAGATAAAAGAGAGCATGCCCAATTCCATTTGAATTTCATGTGAACCAAGAATAATTTTTGGTATGAGTAAGTCCCATGCGATATTTGGGACATACTTATACTAAAAAAAAAAAAAAAAATCCATGGTCTATCTGAAATTCAAATGTAACTGGGTGTCCTGAATTTTTATTTGCTGAATCTGGCAACCTGATCCACAATCCCCCTGTGATGCGATGCTGTCCCCTTTGCACAGAAGGGGAGATGGGGGCCCAGAGCAGACAAGCAATTTGCCCAACATCACGCAGCCACCAGTGGCTGAACAGGAATCTGGAACCTGGTCTAGTCCACCCTGGAGTCTGGTTCCCATCATAACCTTGTCTCCCGGGAGGGATGTGACAGCCACCGACTTGTTAGGGGCCACGCTAAGCTGCCTGGAGCAGCTGCAAAATGTGCCTTCCCTCGCCCAGCAACCACGGCACGAGGAACGAGGCAGGGAAAGTACTTCCAGGACGGAAACCCCAGCAGCCACCCGCAGACGGCGTGGGGGCCGGCCAGTGCCTGCTCCCTGCAGGGCTCAGATAGAGGACCCCATGCTGTTCTCCAACCTGCCACCTCTCCACCCCTCAGCCACTCCTGCAGGCCCTGCTTTTCATGCCCTGGCTGCCCCTGGGAGCTGCCCCTGACCCTAGAGGTTCAGGTGCTGTCCTGGCCCCATCTGCCACCGAGAGGAGGTCACTCTCTTCAGGAGAGTTTTTTTCTGGGTGCTGAGAGGCCCCGGTTTCCTCGACACTGCCATGGAAGCATGTGCCACTTCCATGCTGCCACAATGGCAAGGGTCCCCATGCCCTTGGCCCCCCTGACCTGGGGCCCTCAGGCCAATCTCATTCACATAGAGACACTTCTGAGAGGTGACTTCCCTGTCCCCCAAGCACTGACCTGACCCTCTGCCCTCTCCCAGCAGCTGGGGAGGCTGGGGAGGAAAAATGCTTGGAGGCCTGGAGCAAGGAGGCTCATCCTGGGATGAGAGAGGCCAGGCCGGGGCCCGACTCCTGGGCCCTCTGCCCCACCCCCAAGGCACCTGGCAGGTGTTGCTTCTGGCCCCTTCATCTCTCCAGTTCCTTCTCCACTCCCCTATTAGCCTAGACCTTAGAGGGCGGCTGGGATCCCAGCTGGGCCTTGGGGTGCGGGGCTGCCCTGCCGTAGCCCACCTGGAACCTAGCACAGGTGAGAGCCGGGAAGCATCCACCTGTGCTTGCCCCAGACAGATGGGGAGGCAGTGCTGGGAGGGGACAAGAGCCTGGCTCTGAGGTCAGGCAACCACTTCCTAGTGGGCGACTTCAGGCAGGAAAGCCTTGTTCCCTCCAGGGACAAAGGGTAGATGAGAGCCAGCCCCTGGGACTCTCCTGAGGATTGGATGCATGGACCCGTGTGTGGCTAGCTCTGTTCGCGGGTTGGATACACAGCAGCAGTGCTTATGGCCTGGGGTGGGGCTTTCCCAGCAGGGATCCCAGGGCTGTGAGGACTCGGTTCCAGTCCACCGACTCCAGGCCAGCTAGACACCAAGGGGGGAGATGAGGGAGGAGGAAGAAGGGCCCACCATTCGGCAGGCTCACAGCGTGCAGGAAGCGTCTGCCACTGCCATGAGGGAGCCGCTGTTGACACCCATCTTCCAGAGGGGTGAACCGAGGCTCACAGTCACAGCTGGGTGGCCAGAGCCAGAATCCAAACCTCTACCCCTCCTCTCCTGGCCTCAGAAGGCTTCCCTGAGTGGCACCAGCTTCCTCTGAGATACAGAGAGTAGTACACCCCCCGGGGAACAGGGGGATAAGCCTCAAGCTGGCTCCTCAAGCAACATGTGCCAGTGGCAGGGATGTGGCCTCGGTCACAGTGAAGATTGGCCCCCTCCTTGAAGCTGTCTCTGGGGAGCCTCTGGGCACCCCGAGCCTGCTCGGGTACCCCCCAGCCCCGTTCGGGCTGACCAGCCTGAGCCTACCCGCCTCTGCCCCCCAGCTGGGCGTGGTGTACACGGAAGGCGGCTTTGTGGAAGGCATCAACAAGCAGCTCGGCCTCTTTGGCGACTATGTCGACATCTTCAAGGGCATCCCCTTCGCCGCCCCGACCAAGGCCCTGGAGAACCCCCAGCCACACCCAGGCTGGGAAGGTAGGTGGGTGTGGGCAGGTGCTGGCCAGGCCTCGCGGCTGGGAGTGCCAAAGGGTGGCCGCCATCCTCACGCCAGCCCTTCTGGCTGCCTGCAGGGACCCTGAAGGCCACGGACTTCAAGAAGCGATGCCTGCAGGCCACTATCACCCAGGACAACACCTACGGGGATGAGGACTGCCTGTACCTCAACATCTGGGTCCCCCAGGGCAAGAAGGAAGGTCTGTGCGCCCTCTCCTGCCCTCCACTCCCCATGCCCTGCAGCCAGAGGCCCAGGCCATAACCCTTGGTTGTGTCTGGGGATCCAGAGCTGAATGTCCCTGAAATCAGCACAGAGCGGGGAAGGGAGAGAGTAGGAGGGGCATCTGGGGTCACCGTCCTGCTACCCCCCACCCCTGCCTCAGTCTCCAGGGACCTGCCCGTCATGATCTGGATCTACGGAGGTGCCTTCCTCATGGGGGCTGGCCAGGGGGCCAACTTTCTCAGCAACTACCTGTATGACGGGGAGGAGATCGCCACGCGGGGCAATGTCATTGTGGTCACCTTCAACTACCGCGTCGGCCCCCTGGGCTTCCTCAGCACTGGGGATGCCAACCTGCCAGGTCTGTGAGGTGCCTGGGGCACAAGGGTGGGGAAGCAAGTGCATCCAACCCCCTGAGCTCCGAGGGATGCCCTTCAGTGCCCCTTGTCCCCAAACAACTCCTGACGGCCCCTGGAAAGCCCAGAATCCTATTCGTAGAGCCAGGGAGCTAGAGACGAAGCGAGAGACACAGGAGCCCCTCGGCAGCTGCAGCGAAAGTGAAGAGGCTGCCGGGCAACTGCCCTCCAGACAGACACTGACACAGTGACAAACTCATACCCAGAGAGAGTCCCAGGGGAGCAGGGACAGGGTGCCGAGTGACAGACAGAAAGACACTGAGGCAGGGACCCAGGGGGACCCAGAAGCTGCAGACAGACAACAAGAGAGACAGTGGCAGGGAAGGAGAGAGATGAGCAGGCCTGGCCCTCCTGTCGCCCTTCCGGAGCCTGAGCCTCAGCCCCTCCAGCACCCACCCGACCAGCCTCGTGCCACCCCTGGGCTCGTCCAGGGTCCCCATGTAGTCGAGGACACAGTCTTCCCACCCATATGGATTGTGCGTCTCCTGTGGGTCAGGCCCTGATGAAGGCCCCTCCCCGGCCCGCCCCCAGGTAACTACGGCCTTCGGGATCAGCACATGGCCATTGCTTGGGTGAAGAGGAACATTGCAGCCTTTGGGGGGGACCCCAACAACATCACCATCTTTGGGGAATCAGCCGGAGGAGCCAGTGTCTCTCTGCAGGTCTGGGGACCCCTGGAGGGGGGACCTGCCTCCGAGGGTGTTTGGGGGAGCCGATGGGGGCAGGAGAGGCAGGGCTGGAGCTGGCCTGCGAGTTTGTCCTTGGCAGAGCCTAGGGTGGGCAGGAGGGGTGAGGCCGTGGTGACAAGACCTCTGTGTGCTGCAGACACTCTCTCCCTACAACAAGGGCCTCATCCGCCGAGCCATCAGCCAGAGTGGCGTGGCACTGAGCCCCTGGGCCATCCAGAAGAAGCCCCTCTTCTGGGCCAAGAAGGTAAGGAGGAACCATGGTGGAAGGGGCCTTCCTCCTTCCCACTCTCTGCCCTGGACCCCATGTGCTCTACCCCAAGCACTGGCCTCACCTACTTGCCTCGCCCACCCCCCAGATCGCCGAGAAGGTGGGCTGCCCCGTGGATGATACCTCCAGGATGGCCAAGTGTCTAAAGATCACTGATCCCCGTGCCCTGACGCTGGCCTATAAGATGCCCCTGACAGGCACAGAATGTGAGTGGGGCACTGGGCGGGGGCGAGGGGGCTCCGGGTCGGGGGAGGGCACACTCCTGGAGAGGAGAGGAAGCCCGGGTCTGAGGCCTGGGCCTGCCACGGCTCGCTGGTGTCCCTAGACAGCTCACCGCCCACCACCACCCTTGCAGGCCTCAGTGGCCCCAACTGCAGGGGGAAGAAGGAGCCATTTTTCTTATTCTCCATGGGTCATGACCCCTCTGAGAAGCGCCCCCCTCCCTCCCAATGCACAAATCCACAGTGATTTGCACACAATTTTTGGGAGCTGCATGGACCTCGGACCCAGAGCCTTTATACTGGATGACCGTTCATTCTTCCCTCTGCTCATTCACTCAGCAGATATTTACTGAACACCTGCTGTAGCACTTGGCCCTTCCAGCTGTGCTACTCTACCCCAGGAGGGCCATGGGGACCCCATGAGCAAAGCCTACGAGTGTCAGCGTCATCAGCCCCGCAGGCTGGAATTCTCTCTTGCTCATTCTTCTAACGCCAAGTGCAGTGGGGTCCCATCATTTGCATCTTTACTGATGTGAATTAAACCATAAGCGCCAGGCAAAGCCAAACCAAAGCAAACACTATCGCCCCCAGTGCAAACCAACTATTTCCTCAGCTGGAGGACAAAGGGGCCGGGTTGGGCCCTGAAGGCCCGCGCAGCCACCTGCCCCATGCCAGCTATATGGTCCCTTCCGGGCCAGTTCAGGCGTCTAGAAGGCAATGCTGACCTTGAACAATTTCTGGCCAACACACTGGAACCCAGCCCTCGGAGGGGGTGCCTCTTTCTGTAGCCGTGCCCTCAGTTACTCCTAGGTCTTCCTCCTTCCTGACTGAGGCCCAAGGAGAACAGAGGGAGGAAGGGGACTTGGCAGGAGCTGGACAACTTGGCCTCTAGATCAGTGGTTCTCAACCTGGGTGATTTTGCCCCCGGGAAGATGTAGCAGAGTCTGGAGACAGTTTTTTTTTTTTGAGGAAGATTAGCCCTGAGCTAACATCTGCTGCCAATCCTCCTCTTTTTGCTGAGGAAGACTGGCCCTGAGCTAACATCTGTGCCCATCTTCCTCTACTTTATATGTGGGACGCTTCCACAGCATGGCTTGCCAAGCGGCACCACGTCTGCACCCGGGATCCGAACCAGCGAACCCGGGGCCACTGAAGCGGAATGTGTGCATTTAACCTCTGCGCCACCAGGCCAGCCCCTGGAGAGAGTTTTGATTGTCACAACTGGGGTGGAGGGAGCTGTTGGCATCTAGCGGGTCAAGGCCAGGGATGCTGGCAAGCACCCTACACACACAGGATGGCCCCCACAACACAGAATTAACCTGCCACATGTCAGTAGTGCCCAGGCTGAGAAACCTGGTCTCATCAAAGGAGGCAGGAGATGGAGGCAGCTCCCGCTCGGGGACTGGGGGAGGAGCTGGTGGGCGCTGGCCGGCCTGAGAGCCTGCTGCTCTCCCACCCAGACCCCGTGCTGCACTATCTGGGCTTCCTCCCTGTCGTCGATGGAGACTTCATCCCTGACGACCCCATGAATCTGTACGCCAACGCCGCCGACGTCGACTACCTAGCAGGCACCAACGACATGGACGGCCACATGTTTGCCAGCCTCGACATGCCAGCCATCAACAAGAACAAACAGGACATCACAGCGTAAGCAGGAAGCGTGGGCCCGGGGCGGAGCCCAAGGGCAGTTGGAGAGGCATCGGTAGACTGAGGGATGCAGCACTGTGTTGGGGGGCTGTCTGCGGCCCTCTGCTGGATGGGGGTGCGGAGACCCTGCGGTTGGCACTGGTGGAGGGTTCAGTGCCGGCTTGGTCCCTGCAGGGAGGAGTTCTACAAGCTGGTCAGCGGGCTCACCATGACCAAGGGGCTCAGAGGTGCCAACGCCACCTTTGACTTATACACCGAGCCCTGGGCCCTCGACTCATCCCAGGAGACCAAGAAGAAGACCGTGGTGGACTTTGAGACCGACGTCCTCTTTCTGATGCCCACGGAGACGGCCCTGGTCCAGCACAGGGCCAACGCCAAGTGAGGAGGGCAGGGCAGGGGAGGCCCACCTGGGATCGCCGGTGGGTGGCTCACAGGTGTCTGGGAGGCCTGGGAAAGCTGTGCTCGGGTCGTCACTGCGCCTGCACCATCTGCCTTGCTCAGGCCTGACAAGGCTTTAAAGGGCTCCTCCTCCCCTCCTAGACTCATGGGGCTTTACAAAACCCTCCCATGATTCTCTGCCCAGCCCAGCCCAGCCCTGTGGACTCTCCCTCACCCCACAGTCCTTCTCACTGCAAAGTTCTTGAGTCTACCTTTCATCCCTCGTGCTGTGTAGGAGAGAACGCTGGATGATGGTCTATGTTGTAGGTTTTGACTTCGCCAACTTTGAAAATAACAAGCCTGTGGCCACATTAAAAACCTCCATATAATAATAGCCAATTAAAATAAAAAATAAATTAGGAATGCTTAAAAAAAATAGGAAGATAAAATTATTCCCGGAAGTCTAAGATGACAGTTTTGCAGCAACTAAGCAATAGATTTAGCTCTGAGCTTCCTGTCAGTCAAGGCAAAAAGGGAAACATCTGGGGGCATATACCTTGTCCAATCAAATGAGGAATACAAATTCACTTGCAGAGAAAAAAAAATTCTTGACACAGAATTATAAGAGGAAGATGCTTCAAACCATTTTGTGGAGGTGAACTATAAATACAATTAAAATCCTAGAACCCATGAATCCATAAATTTGGCCCACAGCTTTCCTGTCCCCAGGTGTAAGAATCTCAGTTTCTTCACGAGGCTTGTGGCAGTCCCCGGACCCTTCCCTGCTCCCCCATGGCCTCCCTCTGGGGCCCATCTGGGACCTGGGTGGCCCCAGTGAGCACCTGCCAACCTGGGCGATCTCCCCCCATCCTCAGGAGTGCCAAGACCTATGCCTACCTGTTCTCCCTGCCCTCTCGGATGCCCGTCTACCCGAGCTGGGTGGGGGCCGACCACGCAGACGACATCCAGTACGTGTTCGGGAAGCCCTTCGCCACACCCCTGGGCTACCGGTCTCAGCACCGGACTGTCTCCAAAGCCATGATCGCCTACTGGACGAACTTCGCCAGAACCGGGTAAGGCGGGGGTGAGGTTGAGCCCAGAGCCTCTGGCCACCTTGGCCTGCAGGCCTGGGTTCCAGTCCCCTTGCTCACCACCACTTAGCTCCCAGAGCCTCAGAACCCACTCTTTACGTGAGGATAAGAGCTACTGGTGGGCCCAAGACAAGCACGTCTTGGGGCTCCACGTGCCCAGCCAGTGCCAGGGACACAGACAGGTGCTCTGAGGGGTTGGGTCGGCACAGAGAACAGAGGACTGCCCAGGCAAGCGGGTCCCAGCCAAGCCGGGGGCGCAGGGCTCCAGTGTCCTGTGAGCCTCCAGCCCCCACCCAGCCTTTTCTCACCTTTCAGGGACCCCAACACGGGCCACTCGGCCGTGCCCACGCCCTGGGATCCCTACACCCTGGAAAACAGCAGCTACCTGGAGATCAACAAGAAGATGGACAGCAGCTCGATGAAGCAGAGCCTGAGGACCAACTATTTGCGCTACTGGACCCTGACCTACGACGCGCTGCCCACCACGATCGGCGAGGGGGCCGCCCTGGTGCCCCCCACAGACGACTCTGAGGCCGCCCCTGCACCCCCCTCGGGTGACTCTGAGGCTGGTCCCACGCCCCCCTCGGGTGACTCTGAGGGGGCTTGGATGCCCGCAGTCATTGGCTTCTAATGTCCTTGGTCCTTGCCAAGAGGCCACAGGGTGGGACCCCAGGGGGCCCCCCTCCCCTCCTGAGCTCCTCCTGAATAAAGCCTCATCTCTCTGGCATCTTTCTGTGCTCCCAAGATCCAGCTGGAGGAAGGAGGGCCCTCAGTTATCATGACAGCAGCAGGCGCTGGGCCCAACACGTTTCCCCCATGTGACAGTACTATCCTCGTTTTATTTTTTTATTTTTTCTTTCCTCTTTTGAGAAGTATTAGCCCTGAGCTAATATCCCATCTTCCTCTACTTTATATGTGGGACGCCTGCCACAGCATGGCTTGACAAGCGGTACATATGTCCACACCCGGGATCCGAACTGGCAAACCCCGGGCCCCCAAAACAGAACGTGTGAACTTAACCACTGCACCACCGGGCTGGCCCCTACTATCTTCATTTTAAAGAGAAGGAAACAGGTTCAGAGTCTGTCAGAGCCAGGACTGGGATTCAGGCGAGGACCCCTCCACACCAGCCTGCTGGCTCCCAGAGGCTGGGCCATGTCCCAAAGGGTGGGCAGAGCCAGAGGTGGCACAGCCGAGAGGGAAGCTGGGCTCTGCAGATGGTGGCCTCCTCCGGACCGGTGCAGCCCAGCCACACCCAGGTCCTCCAGGGTGTGGCGAGTGACCTGTGTGTTCTAACCGGGGTCAGGGAATCAGCCTGGGAAGAGAAACAGATTCCACCTCCAGCTGGATCCAAGTCAGAGAGAGAATAAAGCATCATACTGCAGGGTCCGAAGCAGAGGGCGCAGGAGGGCTGGGCATTGGGGGCTTGCTGGGTGGTGCCCAAGGGCTCTGGCAGAGCCGGCTGTGGGGAGGCAGAGGTCACAGTCAAGGCCATCTCCACCTCTGGAAGTCTAGACCCAGGCACCACACCGAGGGCTTAACCAGCCTGACCCCACGGGGGCCACATGAGGTGGGCATGTGAACATCTCCACTTTAGACAGTTATGGATATTTAGAGGGAAGCAAGGCCTTGAGAGGGGGTCATGTGCCCCAGGTCATCAGAGTAAGGATTCAAACCAGACTCCAAAGCCAGTGCTCACAACAGTCCTTAGTTACTGTGGGGCAGGGGTGAGACCTCAGAGAGAGGAGATCCCGGAGTCCTGGTGTGTGCATGGGGCAGCAACACCAGGGGACCAGCCAGCCACTCTTTCCCTCTCCAGCCATAGATGGAGCACTGAGGTCTGGGGGCCAAGTCCTGCTGCCCCACACAGCAGAGCTGGACGGGGCAAACCCGTCCCCTTGAGGAGCAGGGCGCCCTTGGACTGGCCTGTGACCCCGGTGGCTGCTCTGGGCTTCCTGGCTTGGTCAAGGGCTCTAGGTGTGAAGAGGGGATCTCCCGTCCAAAGACTAAGAGAGACAGACCCTTGCTGCAGGGCAGGCCTGTCCCGACTGCCCCTGCTCTTGGCCAGTGGAAGCCCAAAGATGCAACATGTCCCTCCTCTGCCACATTAGTAAGCACACGACTTCTCTAAGTGTTTCCACCTGCTCGGTCTACTCTCAGGAACCTCCTCAAATTGCAGGAGAAACCCCTCTGACCCCAGTGCCTCCCCCTGGCCCTGGGACACGGCACTTCCCTCACAGCTGCGCCTGCCTGTCCTTCAGGAAATCACGCCATGGACGGCTAGGCTGTGTCAGGGATCCAGGAGTATGCTCAGTCCCTGGGCTGCACGGAGGGCTCCCTGGCAGAGGCAAGGCCTGCTGTGTGTCTGGTGACACCTACTGCTGTCAGGACAACTCAGGGTTGCACCGCAATTCATCTGGCTCTTGTGTTTACAGGCTGTATTCGGAAGCTGAAAAATACTCACCAAGCTGCAGGCTGCAGGCTGTCAGGGTCCTGGGGGCTCCCCACTGGGCCAGGTGTTAGCCCTTTCATTCCGAACATGGTGAGGCTCCATCACTGCTTTTTATGGATTTGGTTGATTTTTTTATAGTGTTCCATTTTTATTCCCTTCTTTTCTTTCCTGGAATCTCTAAAAAAACTATTTTCTATGGGTTGCCTCTGAGAATACAATTGACAGCTTAAACTTATAACAACCTAGTTTGAATAATACCAACTTTGTTTCAGTAGTACATACTCAGCTCCCACACAGCTCCATCCCTCCCCTTTATGCTTATTCTCATGGATTATCTCCTATACATTCTGTTCCCATTAAGATACATATGTACTTATTGTTTTATGAATTTGCCTTTTAAATCATACAGGAAAAAAAAAGAGTTGTTACAAACCAAAAGTGCAATACAGGTACATACTACCTACCTATCAGTTACCTCTACTGGTTTCCGTATTTTTCCATATGGTTTCAAGTTACTGTCTAGTATTTTTTGATTTAGTCTGAAGGATCCCCTTTAGCATTTCTTGCAGGCAGGTCTACTCAACAAACTTCCTTAACTTCGTTTATCTGGGGATGTTTTAATTTCTCTTCATCCTTAAAGGATAGCTTCCTGGATATAGAGTTCTTTTTGTTTCAGCACTGGAAATAGAAATATGTCATCCCACTGCCTTCTGGTTGCCATGGTTTCTGACCAGAAATCAGCTGTTCATCTTATCGGGGGACCCCATATGTGACGAATTGCTTCTTTCTTGCCGCTTTCAAGATCTTCTCTTTGCCTTCAACAATCTGATTATAATGTGTCTCGGTGTGGCTCTCTTTGAGTTCATCCTGCTTGGAGTTCATTGAGCTTCCAAATATGTAGATTTATGTCTTTCATCAAATTTGGGGAGTTTTCAGCATTTTTCTTCAAATAATTTCTCTGCCCCTTTCTCTCTTCTTCTCCTGGGCCCCTCATTATGCATATGTTGTTACATCTAATGAAGTCCCCCAAAGTCCCTCAGGGTCTGTTCATGTTTATTCATTTTTTTTTTTCCTTTCTGCTCCCCAGGCAGAACAATTTCAATTGCCTTATCTTCAAGTTCACTGATTTTCTTCTGCCTGCTCAGCTCTGCCACTGAACCCCTCCAGTGCGAGTTTCACTTCAGTCATTACACTTTTCAGCTCTAGAATTTCTATTTGGCTTCTTTTTATAACTTCTCTCTTTATTAAATTCCCTATTTTTTCTTGCCTCATTCTCTTGATTCTTCCTTTTTGTCCAGGGCTTCCTTTAGCTCACTGAGCATATTTAAGACAGTTGATGTAATGTCTTTGACTAGTAATTTCAATGTTTTGGCTCTCTCAGGAACAGCTTCTATCAAATTCTTTTTTTCCCCTGTGAACAGGCCCTATTTTCCTGTTTCTTTGCATGCTTTGTGATTTGTTGAGAACTGGATATTGAGTGTTATAATGTGGTAACTCTGGAAATCAGATTCTCCCCCTCCCCAGGACTGTCTTTGTGCATGAGGGCTGCAGTCTTCCGTTTCTGTGGTGACCTTTCCAAGGTATTTTTGTAAAGCCTGTATTCCTTGTTACGTACAGTCGCTGAAGCTTCTGTCCCACTGCCTCGGTGGTTCAGTGTGTGAGCTGGCAGAGATGTCCTTAATTGTTGAAATTCATCAGCAAGGCCCTTCATCAAGCACTGGTTGTTGTCTCTGATGAGGGTCCGGAGTCCCAAAATTATTGATTCTGACAGTTTTTTTCCCCTAGCTTAATTGTTGTTTCCATGGAGACAGACCCCTGAAACTTCTTACTCTACCATTTTCTGCCACAAATGTTTATTTTTAAAGATACTCAAGTTTCAGAGGCTGTTACTCTGCCCTGTGAAGGCAGTTTCAATCTCTAATACCCGAGGGTTTTTTTTTTTTTTTTTTTTAAGATTTCATTTTTTTTTCCTTTTTCTCCCCAAAGCTCCCCCCGGTACATAGTTGTATATTCTTCATTGTGTTTCCTTCTAGTTGTGGCATGTGGGACACTGCCTCAGCATGGCTTGATGAGCAGTGCCATGTCCGCGCCCAGGATTCGAACCAACGAAACACTGGGCCACCTGCAGCGGAGCGTGCGAACTTAACCACTCGGCCATGGGGCCACTCCTCTAATACCTGAGGTTTTGAGGGGCTGTCTCAGCTCGTCGCGCAGATGAATGATACTGAGGTGAATGTCTGCTCTGTGAAAGGTGGATGCATGTGTTTGTTTACATAAGCCAGAGAAGGGTGGCTGGCCCTTCTCGCTTCTCCTGCATAAACTAAACCAATAACCCTGCAAGATTTCCTATTTGAACACAGAATGTGAGAGTCTGCATCTCATTTAAATTAGCACAGGAAATGAAAGAACAGAACCACAATTTCCAGGCTATAGTAGAAACAGGATTTTAATATAATATTCAAGTCTAGCATTTGCTATTTACAACAAATAAATATTGCCCCTCCCCAACTGGTAAACTTTTTTTTTTCTCCTTTTATACAAATAGTCAACCCCCCCCCCCCCCCCCAAACCCTCCTTTCGCACTAACCCCCGTCTCGTGTGGTCTCGTAAAGCCCAGGATGCAGCAGTGAATGGCACTTCAAGTGTCACGAGATTCAACATCAGTGGGACTCGGCTGAGACCGTCCTCACTCACCGGGTGAAGAGTGGTCTGTGAAGAGGGTCTCTCTCTCCTCTCCCGGGAGGGCTGGGTAGGGGGTGGGTGAGACCCCCTCACTCTCAGTTGGCCCTGATGATGGAATCTTTGGTGCAGCCTGAGAAAGGCTAGGGTGGTGGGAGGAGGGGTCGCAACCCCTGTGAAGCGCACAGGCTGGTGCCCGCGGGCACGAGGAGAGAACTGCAGTGGTCAGACCTGGTGGATGGGTGGGTGCCCTGGGATGCCCATGGCACAGGTGGCAGTGACCCACACCTGGGAAGGTGTGAGAGAGGTGTACAGACGGCAGCGCCCGGCAGGGCTCTGTGTCCATTGGCAGCGCTCCTTGGCAAGTCAGCTAGTCCTCTGGTTCCAGAGAGCAGAAGGCACCTAAGGCAGCGAGTGGTCCACAGGAGGCCAGGTCAGCCTGTCGACTGGCAGGCGTCAATCCCGGCAGCAGGAGAGGTTCAGGGTGAAGCTGGAGTCTGGGGGTGGCCTGGGCTGGCAGGTTGGGCAGACGATGCCCACGTGGCCTGGGCCACTGTAGTCCGTAAGTGCTGAGTTGCATGGCTAGCCAAACCCTGAAAGGGTAGTCCTGTGGCTGGCCAGCGCTAGGGACCAATTAGAAGATGCCTTTGGCAATCTTGAGTCCCTTCTGCTTCATGCGAGGCAGGGTTGAGCTGGCTCCATGCCTGACCTTTGCCCCCTTGGTGAAGGTCCGTTTCTTTAGGACAAAGTCATAGTTGGCAGTAGAGTTCATAGCGTAAAACACATTGGCGTTTTCAGGGATCTTCAGTTCTAGTGGGGGAGGTGCAGAGGGAGGGTCAGTGGTGCTTATGGGGGCCCCACAGGAAGCCCCACCCCTTGAGGGCAGGCCTGAGCCAGAGACCTGAGACCCCCAACTCGACTGCAGGACCATCAAGGACCCCTCTTAATGACACTTGCCTACCTGAGGACAGACTCTTTGAGGCACTGATGAAACGTAATGACCCTTGTTTAGAAAGGACTTTGACTCTAGAAGTCCCCACCTGTCTGGAGGTTATCCAAAGGGTCTTCCAACCCGTTCCCCCTGCTGCCTTCACTAATCAGGGTCTTAAGCTGGAACAGTCTTTCTAGAATCCAGATCACCTCCCCTGAATCCTGCCTTACTCAGGACAAAGGCTCTGAGGCCCAGTGAAGGGCAGGCCTTCCCCAGGCCTCCTGCACTGGGTTCCAGAGGGGACCCCACACTCCAGGGTACCAGGCGCCCAGCAGATACTTGCTCTTGGCTCCTCCCATTTCCCACTCATCTGCTCTGGCCTCGAGCCTGCTGTACACAGGAAGCAGAGTGGTGGTCATGTTCACAGCTAACCTCATGGCACATGTGCACATGGTCCGTTTCCAGGGATGAGAAAACAGGCACAGAGGACTTCAGGAACCTGTTCGAGCCTCTGAGCCCTGGCTGTCTGGCTCTGAGTCTGTGCTTTTCTTCTTGATTCTTGCCCTTTCCCAGTTTTTAGAATATAGTGGTCTCCCCTTTTCCACAGTGGATATGTTCTAACACCCCCAGTGGATGCCTAACACTACGGATAGTATCTAACTCTGTATATGCTAGGTTTTCTCCTATACGTATGTACCTACGATAAAGTTTAATTTATAAATTAGGCACAGGAAGAGATTAACAACAATAACTAACGCAGTCGTGCACCACATAAGGACGTTTCAGTGAACAACGGACCGCATACATGATGGTGGTCCTGTAAGATTAGCACCATAGAGCCTAGGTGTGTAGCGGGCTACACCATGTAGGTTTGCGTGAGTGCACTCTGCGATGCTTGCAGTGACAAAATCACTAACACAGTTCTCAGAACATATTCCTGTCAATTCCTGTCGTTAAGCAATGCATGACTGTAATGAAATAGAACAATTATAATAATATACTATAATAAAAGTTACCATAGATCTTAGCAACCTCAGCATATGACATTTTTCCTTTTCTTATTATGTTAAGAACTTACGCCGTTTCACTTAAAGGAAGCAGTCTATGGCTTCTCTTTGGCATGTCTGAATTGCTGGCCTTGCAACTCTTGCACTTTGGAGTCATTATTAAGTAAAATGAGGGTTCCTTCAACGCAAGCACCGCGACACCACAACAGTCGGTCTGATAACCCAGAGGGCTACTGAGTGACTAACGGGCAGGGGCCATCTACAGCGTGGACCCACTGGACAAAGGGAGGATTCCCGTCCCAAGACGGATGAAGCGGGACAGTGCGAGAGTTCATCATGCTACTCAGAATGGCGTGCAATTTAAAACTTAAGAACTGTTAGTTTCTGGAATTTTCCATTTAATATTTTCAGACTGCAGCTGACCTTGGCTAACTGCAACTGGGGAAAGTAAAACCATGGACAAGGGGGGACTACTGTATGGATCTTCTGTTTCGCTTGCCGTGTCTGCTATGGTCTGAATGTCTGTGTTCCCCGCAAGTCATATGCTGAAGTCCTAACCCCCAACGTGATGGTACTTGGAGGTGGGGCCTTCGGGAGGTGACTAGGTTGTGAGGGTGGAGCCCCACAAACAGGATTAGTGCCCTTTTATGAAAGAGACCATAGAGAGCTCCCTTCTCCTCCCACCACGTGAGAGCACAGGGAGAGACCCGCAGTCTGCAATTCGGCAGAGGGTCCTCCCCAGAACCTGACCATGCAGGCACCCTGATCTTAACTTCCAGCCCCAGAACTATGAGAAATAAATTTCTGTTGTTTTTAAGCACACAGTCGGTGGCATTTTGTTATGGCAGCCCAAACAGACTCAAACAGTATCGCATGTGTGAAGATTTTAACGTATTTGATGCTGAGGTCCATGGCAGTCACAATTCTTTCTCAAGCACACATTTCCCATCTCAGGCAGAAAGTGACCCTCCGAATGGCCTGTGGGCTTGGCCATCTGGATGCCTTGCCCCAGGAGAAACACTTTTCTCTTTATTTCTCAGCGATGCTAGATTTGAACGAGGTCTCGCACTGCCTGTTCACGTCCAGGGAAGGGCACGTGACAGGAGCCCAGCAGCTGCCAGGGACTGGTGCATGCAGAAGGCCTACTCCCACCCTGGCGGCATGTTTTCTGGGACTGCAGGCTGTGGGCCTGGAGCTGAGACACGGTGCTATCCCCCTATTTCCGTGGCCCGCCTGCCTAGCCCCTGACTTACTTCGATCGTCTGAAATAATCTGCACCAGCTCATAGTCCTCTGGCTCATCCTCATCCAGGTTGTGTTTGTCCATGGCCTTGCGGATTACGGCCGGAGCTTTATCTTGGCTGGTCACCTGGATTGGGGTGGGGGACAGGCCATCAGGGCAAGGGTCCTGGAGTAGCTCCCCCAGAGTACAGCAGCCAGGGACCCTCGGAGCCATCTAACCTCTGAGCACAAGGGCTCACAGTCTCTGGCTGGGTTCTGGGTCCATGGGGCCTTACCACCTTCTCCTGCCCCCGGGGAGTCCTCTGCGCAGTGAGGAGGGGTCTTTTCAAATTGCTCCTACTCCTCCTTCCCCTACACGCCTGCCACCTCCTCCCATGCCACCTAGGAGAACTGCCGCCCCTGGGGGCTGCTCCCCCTTGACCCTGCCCCTCCAGGCCAACAGTCTCAATGAGCCCAGAGAGCAGATGGCATTTGGTCCCAGCCCTGGAGATAAGAGAGGAGCCAGCCAGCCGGATGCCCAGTGGCTGCCTAAGAGCCAGGCCTGCGCTGAGCTGGAGGCTGCAGGGGTGGTCAACACAGGCTGACCCCTGCTGCCTCCCCCCAGAGGGCTGGAGTACAGGCAGGCCTTAGACACAGGGTCATACAGGGGACGACTTCATGACAATCATGCTAGCTTCTGCCAGCGAGAGCAGCGCAGCACAGGCGGGTGTGTTACGGGGCACCTGACGCAGTGTGGGTGGATGGCGGTGGGGGCGTGCAAGTGGCTCACTGGCAGCCCGAGTTCTGGAGGACGAGCAGAGTCCCAGACAGCTTCCATTGGCTTGATCTCTGTCTTCAAATTATAGCCAGTGTCTGACCCTGGTAGCCACCTCCATGGCCGCCAGCCTGCTGCAGCCACTTTCTCCCCGCCTCGCTGCAACAGCAGCCTCCTAACCAGCTCCCTGCACCTCCCAGCATCAGCCCACGGCCCCCGAGAAGTCAAAAGTCACTGCTGTCCCTCCTCTGCTCCAACCTCCAGTGGCCCCTGTCTCTCTCCAACAAGATCCAGGCCCCCGGCACTTTCCTGACCTCAACTTTTACCCTGACCCTCGCTCCTGCACCTCGGGCCCCCTGCTGGTCTCCTAACCCCCAGGCACACTCCCGCCTCGGGCTCTGCACACCACTCCCTGCGCCCTCAGGGGCCTCATCAGTGAGGCCCTCCCTGGCCTCCATCTAAACCCCTCCGTCTACCGCCCTCAGCGCTGACTGATGCCCTGGCTTCTTCGTGTCTGTGTCTGGTATCTGCCCGTCCTTCCTGACCCACTAGAAGGCCAGCTCCAGGAGGGCAGGGACAGGCCACCGTGCTCAGTACGTATTTGCTGCCTGGCAGAGGAGGGGACGCAGGGGCCGGCCTGTGGGGCTCACCAGGATGCTCTTGTACATGTTGCCGTTGTCCACGTCCAGGCTGACACGGATGATGCAGCAGTCGCCCACCTGCTGGTTGTAGAGGGGCAGCGAGGAGCTGTAGCTGCAGACCCCGGAGACGGAGCGCTTGTGGGTACGGGTGGAGGCCACGGGGGTGGTGGAGGCTGACGAGGAGGAGGTGCTGCTGGAGGCTGAGCTGATGCCGGAGGTCTCGGGGGATGACTGGGAGGCTGACTCCCAGAACTGTGGGGATGGCACCATCAGCAGAAGCCCCAGGCCCTGCAGGGTGCCCAGGCCGGTGTCCAGCTCTGGGAGATTCCAGGGGCTCTGTTCAGGAGCTGGGGCTTCTCAGCCCCTTTGTGGGTGCGGAGTGGGGAACACTGGCCCTGGGAAGGGAGGGGCTAGAAGGAAGGGGTGGGGCAGTCACCTTCTTTTCCTGGCCATCGGGGGACTCTGGGACAAAGCTCATGTTGATCTCCTCCACATCAGAGCTGGAGGAGCCAGCTGAGTGGACGCTGAGTGCATCAGCGATGTCCCCGCTGCTGAGGTAGGGGCCACACCTGAGCTGGTCACAGGACTTGGAGTGGGAGCTGCCGCTTGTACTGAGCTCTGTGCTGGGGGCCTGGCGGCTGCATGGAAAAGCCAAGTTACTTAGAGGGCCTCCCCTGGAACACACCCCACCCCTTGCCCCCTGCACTCTGCTCCAGGCATCATGCCAAGCGCTTGGTCCGTCACCAGCACCCCATCGGCTCCCATGGGCTGATATATTATTTAGAACCACTCTATCCACAGGAGGAAACCGAAGCCCAGAGAGGTGAGGTGACTCACCCCATTACAGGGCTGGTCAGCAGGGAAGCTGGGATCCCAGGGCCCAGCTGTCTGACTCCCAGAGCCCACGCCCAGCCAGAAACTCCCGAGCCCCAAGGGAGCTGCCCTGCCCGCCTGGACTCACTCGCTCCAGCGCTTAACAATGGCAGTGTTCTTCTTGGCCTTGAGCGTGTTGCTGGCTGATTCAGAGGGGGGCTCCAGCTCACAGGACAGGTTGTAGCTACAGGACAGAGCGGAGCCATGAGGCTACCAGGAGCCACACTCAGCTGATCCTCCCAGTGCCAGGCGCCCAGCTGTCACCAGGCAACCAGGTCCCATGCTGACCAAGGACCCAAACCACAGGCTCTCTGGAGCTGGCCCCCAGGGACAGCTTGCCCATGCTGTGCCCAACTCCTGCCCCGGCCTCACCTCTCAGCCTCGCTGAGCCACTCCATGGCCCGGAACCAGGCCCCAAAGTGCTCCTCAGGCGCAATGCTGTAATTGTTGCAGGCCGACTGGAGCAGCTTGATCTGGGCGATCACTTCGAATTCCTGGGGCCAGAGGGGAGGACAGGAAAGTGATGACTGGGCGGGGTTAGGGTTTTCACTCACAAGTTCCCTTCTCTGCTCCTGCTCAGGCCCCACTCTGTTCTCAGAGCTGGGTTCAGACAGCCTCTCCCCAGGAAGCTGTCCTTGATTCTAACCGCCTGTCCCCCACACTCCAGTGGGAGAGGTCCTCCCCTTCTCGTACCCAAGTCTCCCGATAAATGTCAGAGGAAGGGAGCTGGAGCTAAGCTGTTCTCCCAGGTGGGTCTCTGAAGCCCGCCCCCCAGGGCTGCGGCTGCTCACCTTCCTCCTCTTCTCGAAGTTGATCAGTCTCCCCTGGAAGACAGACAGTCAACATCCATCAGAAAGTGTCCCCTTGCCCATCACCACCCCTCCTGCCCTCTCGGGCTGCACTACAGAGAGCACACACCAGGGGGCAGGGCACGCACATGCCAGGATCTGGGGTGGGTTCTGGGCGCTGAGGGGTGGGCGGGTAGAGGCTCAGGGACGTTCCCACCCAAGACTCTGAGGACAGAGGGGGAAACTGAGGCCTCAGGGAAGAAGGCCCAGCTGGGCCACCATGTGTCCAACCTTGGAGGGCCTGTCCTCTCTCTGTCCATGGCCATAGCCTAAAGGAGGGGCTGTGTCCAGCTCAGCTACACCCTCCTGCAGCTCTGAGCCCCAGCAGCCGGGTACCGAGCTGTTCGCTCATTGGTAGAAGGGCTGGTGCCCTGGCACACAGGGCTGGCCGAGTGGGCGGGGGTCTCAGGAGACGAAGTGAGCCTGGGCTGAGCTCAGGGCTCCGTGAGGGGCGCTCTGCTCTCTGGCTTCAGGCCCTGCCCTGCCCCCGCCCCTAGGCTCACTCACATACAGATAGTCCTTCATCGCAGTGTCCAGCATCACCAGGTCTGTGAGGAACGTGCCCAGGTAGGGAACCGTGCCCTGGATGACACCCTGTGACATCGGGGTGGGGGCTGTGAGCAGTGCCCAAGGCCCCTTTCCTGAGAGCCCCTCAGCCTCAGCCCCCATCCCGAGCCTCCCACTTGGAGCAGCCTGGGGACCTTTAGCTGTTTCTCCCAAATCCCCCTCCTAGTGTCCATGGACCCCAAACCCTCTAGTCACCTTCCAGGCCTGCTATTTGGCAAATGCCCAAGGGGCTATGGTCCCTGGCTCCTCACTCCCAAATTCCCCTGAGCCTGGCTCTTCCGGGCCTTGCTTTGGTGTCTGTAACTAGTTCCCCCAAGACACCAGCTGATCGGGCATGGCCCTCACAGGGCCCAGGGGAGGCCAGGTCTAACAAGGCCTGTCAGCCACCGGCAGCAGGAGAGGAGGCCTCAGGGGCAGGCCCCTCCTCTGCAGATTGGGAGGCCAGCCCCCTCCTCTCCTGACTTCCAGGCGGGCCTCCTTCTCTCCCAGCCTCGAGCACACTCACCGTCTCTTTCGGCCGTTTCTGGGCTCTCTTGGGGTTCATCTCCAGCGTGGCAAACTTGGAGGTCCCCTCCTGCCAAGGTTGAGGACGGGGTCAGTGAAGCCACCTCCTTGCACTTCACCCTCCAGTAGACCTGACCTCGGACCTTGGTTACTGGGGCAAATGCTCCTGCACCACCAGCGTGCTCTGATTCTAGATTTGAACCCCTGAGCCAGTTCCCGGGACAGCACAGCTGGAACTACACTTGCCTCTTGGGGTCTCCAAGGACTCAGTGTCACACGCCTGTTACTGTGGCTGTTCTGCCCTTGCCCTCTCCAAGGTGGGGCCTTGCACAAGACTCACCCACATTCCTTTTCTCCCTTGAACCCCACTATCTCCCTGTGAGGTCAGCACCCTGGGGTCATCATTCCCCCATTTTCCAGATGAGGAAATTGAGGCCCAGAGAGGGGCAGCGACTTACCCAGGGCCCCACAGGGACTCAGAGGACAGCAGGCTCCTCCCTCCAGGCTGGAGGCCCTGCCCCTGACGCCTTCACTCCCCACTCCCACCACTGACCAGGGTCCCATCCTCAGGGCCTCTGGGTGTGTGCCAGGCTGAGCCGTGAAGAGAGGGATGGGGACTCTTGGGGGGCCTGTTGAGCAGCTCCTGTCTGCTCCAGCACCCAGTGGGGAGTCTGCTCCCCAGGCTGGGCCCGAGGCCATGGCAAAGCCTTTAGTTCCCACAGAGCCCTGCAGGATGCTCCCCTACACGGTGCTCCGCCTCCACCCACTCAGGAGGGTGTCCCAGGTGCCACCTCTGTCTGACAGGGTGAGCTGAGGCTGCCAGGGGCACTGGGTAGTGACATTTTGCATCTTCTTTTCTATGGAAGCTTCTGAGATCAGGTCAAAAAGGACCCATCACGAATTCATTAGTTCCCGGACACTTTTCACAGCACTCTGGGTTATCCATCGTGGCTAACACGAGGCATGGCTAACACGAGGCGAGAATCCAACAGGACCCACTGGGACTTACTCACAGCATCTGCCCCAGGAGCAGAGTGAGGAGTCCCATGGGTACCTAGACCTGCCTCCCCGGTCCGGTCATTTGGACCCAACACCAGGCAGCCCCTCTGGGATCTGGCCCCTGGGCATCTCCTGCAATACCCGGTCCCTGGGCGGGCAGATGCCTGCCCCTTGGAAGTACAGTGCAGACAGAAGGAGCAGCAGGGGCCTGGCTTCCTGGGGACAGGCTGGGCTGGTTTGGGGAGGGAAGGGACCCCCACACCTGACCCCATCCACCCACCAGCCTGGAAGAAGCTAAGTGCCAGTGGAAGGGACCAGTGAGGGAGCAGAGACCTGCAAATTCTGCCTGCTCACCCACCTCTCCTGGAGCACGCCAGCCGCCCCCACGACATCCCATTGCAGGGCCTCCTGTCCCTAAAAATGCCCTCCACCTGCCCGTGGGGCAAACAGACCCCTCTCTCCCTGGAGTCCAGACAAGACAGGACTGGAATTTTTCAAAGAAACTTGACAAGATGCTAACACCGCCCCCTGTCCCCTCTTCCATTTACCTTGATGAGCAGCTCTCTGCTCAGTGAGTAGTTGTTCTCGTCTGAGAAAATCTCTGACAGCTTCTGAAAGATTCGGAAGCTGTCCCTGGGGGAGGAAGGAGAAAGTAGGGAATTGGGGGTTGGGGGAGTGGTGAGTATTTATTTTAGAACCTAAAGACCCAAACTTCCTGGAAGAGTGGTGACCAAACAGGGTTCTGCTGGGCCCGGGGAGGGGCGCTCTCGTGTTGGTCACCTGGGCCCCATTCCCATTTCTACTGAGCAGCTCTGTTCTGACCACTTTTGAGTTCAACTGGACAGAGTTGTGTGGCTGTGAAGTAAACATGAAAATCTCCAAGGTGACTCAGTCCAGTGCCTGACAGATAAGGAAACTGAGTCCTGAGGCAGACCTGCCGGCCTAAGGCCAATGGACACTTAGAGATCCCGCCTACCAGGGGTCTGTGCCCCCAGGACTGCTGCCTCCTGACAGGTCTCAGGCTCACTGAGAGGGCAATGCCTGGCCCCGGGGGAGGTGCCTGGTCCACTCGGGAGCTCCTGCAGAGAGAGGCCTGCCCACCTGGAAACTTCTTCCCACGTCTTCTTCAGTCGGTGGATGGAGTTGCTCTGCAGAGCAGAGAGGATGGCGTAGAGTGATGAGAAGTTCTTGAGGACTCGGCACTCCTGGCGAGAAGAGAACGTGGGTTGAGAGGTGCGGCTGGAGCTACCCCCTGCTCCAGCTTCAGTCCCCCTCAGCTGGACTACCCCCCCGGACGGGACAGATGCCCAGGGAGCCCAGGAGGGCACACTTGGGACCCGATGAGTAACACGCCTAGGGAGGAGGATCTGGGCTCACCCCAAGGAAAAAGCATGAGGAGGAAGTGAGCACCCAGACAGTGGATGTGGGAGTCAAGGCCAGTGTGCCCTGGGAAGGAAGAGCCTGGGGTCTGTGCAGGGGCCTGGACCACAAACCACACCCTGAGGGTACATAAAGGCAAAAAAGGGATTCCTGGGCCCTCTGAGGCATACCCTGGCCACCTCAATCCAGTGCTCTACCACCCTGGCCCTGTCACGGGCCGTCACACTCCGGTCCCCGAGGCAGGTGGTGATGACGCAGTTGGCAACATTGTTGAACTGGGTGACGGTGGCACGGACGGTGGGAGCCAGGTGCTCCTTGCCCTTCTTGTCCCGCTGGGACCAGATGGAGCCCAGGCAGTGGTAGGGCACCACCTTCTTGAACAGCTCCTGGGGAGCAGAGGGAGTGTCACCCGGCTCTGTCACACCCCAGCTCAGCTCCAGTCTCCCCCAGTCCCAGGCAGGGTCCCTGGTCAAAGCTGGAGCTCAGGAAGCTGAGGATGTGGCTGGAGCGTTGTGGGGGTCCCTGGCTTTGTTCTTGTCCTCTGAGGGCACCCAGCACGGGATGACCCAGGATGGAATACTGGCAAGAGTGCAGCATTCCCACCAGCAAAACCCTCACTCCATACACCAGAAGAGGCTCACACTGGCACGTCCCAGGCAGCATTTTCCACCCTCCATCCTGCCTCTGGGCTGACCCCTGTCCAGGTTCATATTTACTGTGGGGGCTACAACTAGGGGCTTTGTCTGCTGTCTGCCACGGCCTCTAACACACGTCAGGCGCCTAGGAAGTGCTGAGGCTGGAGGGCCTCCGAGGCAGATGGGGGCAACCCATGAAGCCAGCCGCACCCCAGTGAGCTCCCCACCCTCACCAAATGGGCCAGGCCCCGCCCAGCTTCCCCTGTTCTAGCTCACTGCATCTCCACAGCCCCTCTGTGCTGCCACACAGATGGGGGTCTCTCATCTCCACAGCCCGGAGGGGAATCAAGGCCTCGGGGTGCAGAAACTTCCCTGGGTCACAGGGTTTGTAATAGAGAAACTGGGACTGGGACTGGAACTGGGACATCAGCTCTGGCCCACGGAAGGGCAGGTGTGGGCAGCGGAGGCCAGAAGGAAGGTGCACCCTGCCCGGCTCTGCTGAGAAGAGTCGCTCACCGCGTCCATCAGTGTAAACTGCTCCGCTACCAGGTCAGGTGGGAACGTCAAGAGGTGAGGCTTCTCCTCACTCAGCCCGTTCTCTGCAGCCACAGACGAAGGCCAGGAAGGCTCTGGTGCTGGTGTTGGCTCTAGCTCTAGAGTTTGTGACAGAGCTGCCTCCAGCTCTGGAGCTGGTACTGGCTCTGGCTCTAGCTCTGGAGCTGGTACTGGCTCTGGCTCTAGCTCTGGAGCTGGCGCTAGAGCTGGCTCTAGCTCTGAAGCTGGCGTTGGCTCTGGCTCTGGAGCTGGTTCTGGCTCTAGCTCTGGAGCTGGTGCTGGCTCTGGCTCTGGAGCTGGCACTGGACAAGGCACTAGAGCTAGTGCTGGCGCTGGCTCTAGATTGGGAGTTGGTCTCAGAGCTGGCACTGGAGCTGGTGACAGAGCTACAAGAGGAAAAAAGTTCAGCAACATGCCTGCCTTTCCAAGCAGAAAACATGCCACTGCCTTCTAGAGAAGCCCCAGCCCAGGAACCCACAACAAGATGTCTTCTTTGACTGCAGTCGAACAGATGGGTGGTCGGAGGCCAGACTTTGCTCCTGGCCAACACCAGTCTCTGGGGACTCCTCACTGCGCGTCCAGCACTGATGCCTCCCCTCATGGTTACATGCACCCACCCTGCTCTCCTCACCCTCCAACTCGGCCTCAATGAGCTCTGCGTGCTCCAACTGAGCCAGGAGATGGTGGGCACGGCGCTCCAGGTCAGAGCCGGGCATGTTGAGCTGCACATAGGCCACCAGTTGCTTGAGGCAGGGAAAGTCCGGGGGCTGACAGAAGTCCTCTGAGTACTGGTCCAGCCAGGTGCCCAGGATGGAGGAGATGGCACTGGAGGTAGGTGGGTGGGCAGGAGAGTTGGAGGCCTGGCCTCTTCTTCCATTCAGTCTTCCCTTGGTACCTCTATGGGGTGGGGGCTGGGCTCCTGGGCCCGCCCCTGCCCATCCAGAAGCCAGTGCACCCCAGCCCACCCCCACGTGACGGTCCAGCAGGGGCAGGCCTGGTCAGCAGGCTGGGCCTGCGAAGTCTCCATAGGAGGGAGCCCTCCATCAACTCTGGGACCACCTCTCCCTTCCTCGGGGAACCCGACACACTCCTGCCTGTCCCCCGGTGCCTCCCCACTGGAATGTCACCTCCACGAGGACAGGGAGGGCGGTGCCTGCTCTGTTCATCGCACTGGCGGGCACACAGTAGGTGCTGCGTGCACATGTGAGGGGGGAGGGACCAGGCGGAGTGTGTCCTGCTGCCCAGCCTTCACGGGGCCCTCGTGGCACCTCAGCCTGCTGCTCATACACCGCTGTGCTGTCTTACTCTCTGTGAGGCCTGTGTGGGTCTCGTCTCCACCCCGACACTATCCTTGGGAATGGGGACACAGCCGGCCCAGCCCCACATGCAGCTGGCCTCACAGGACTGAGGCACCAGGCTGATGTGTGAGCAGGTGGCTCCCCACACCTCCTTCCTGGGTCCTTGGATCAGGGGGTGCCGAGCAGGGCTGGGATGGGCTGTGGTGGGGTTGGATTCTCTCAGGGGCCAGCTCTGAGCCCCCAGCCTCCTCTCTGCTCCCCAGGGGGCCCGGGACCCCATCTGCAGCTGACTCCTTTCCTCCTACAGGAGAAGCCCCCAGACCTCAGCCCTCTAGCAGGAATCACGAGATGTGTGGGAGCCAGGGGACTGCCCGGCCCTCCCGTGCCCCCAGCCACAGCCCCTCAGATCCCATTAGACCTGAAGCCCACTCACTTTCTCAGTTGGTCCTGGGGTCCACCGTCCTCGTCGGAGTAAGGGAGGATGCATCCATATCTAGAGGAGGCCGTGAGGGCATCACATCTACCGTACCTGATATGATGTCTAGTGTTACCGGCCGACTCCCCGACTAGAACGGAAGCCCGGGAGGACACGGACTTTGCCTGCTTTTTTCAGTGAATTATGCTAAGTGTCTAGCAAAGTGCCTGCACACAGTAGGTGCTTCATATATATTCGCTGAATGAATGAAGCCCAGCCAGCACCTTGCTGACGTCCGAGTGGGCCTGGGCCCCAGGCAGCCCCCAGGGCTCCCTGCTCTGCCTGCCCCCAGGCTGGGACCCCCCCCACGGAATCGGAAGGCTCCTTCAGAAATGGGAAAGCAGCTGTGCCCAAGGCCACAGGGTGCTGAGGCTTGAGGCAGACAGCTTCATGGGGGAGAGGAAAGTCCTAAATCAGGACAACCACAGCCCTCGGGAGCCCTGCCCACAGGGCCAGGCCTGAGCAAACTGAGGCTCAGAGAGGTGAAGGGACGTTCCCAAGACACACAGCCAGGAGGAGGGCCGGGAGCCACGGTGCTGTGCAGGGGCGGGGCGCCCACCTTTTGAACAGCAGGTCCAGGACCTGCTGGGTGGTGGTGAAGGCTCGGTAGGTGCACAGAAAGATGGTGACGTAGGAGAGGTCGCTGCCCTGGAAGGCAGGCACCAGGCGCTCCACCAGCTTCTCCAGCGTGCCTGCCTTCACAGTCCGCACCTTGCAGGTCTCATACAGGTTCAGGGCCGACTCATTCTCACACTGTGGGGAAGACGAGGGAGGGCCATCCGGTCAGGGGCAGCACCACGGCCCACAGGAGGGCGGTGGGGGACTGGAGGTTAGATGAGCTGCTAAGAGCGCAGTGGCTTTGGCCAGAGATGGGACATGAGTGCCCCCAGCAGACACAGGTTTTAGGCTTTAGAAGCAGAATCTGAGGGGGAGGAACGGTGACAAAGACTAACACCTTCAGGTCATTTTGTTAGCTGAGTAATGACAGCCCCTCCCTGTATGGAGAGCATTACCCCTGTGAGCCTGGGCAACACATCCCCGTTCTGGAGGCGAGGAAAGAGAGGCTACTCCAGGGTGGAAGAGAGAGGTATATGGGGACACACAGCACTGGGGGAATGGCTGAGGAAAGGAAGCAAGCCAAGGTCCCTCAACAGGGACAGGCTGAATCACTGCATGACCAACCTCCCTGCTGGAACGCGACCACTGGAGTCAGGCCTCACTCGGACCTGGAGGGGTCACAGGGCTGTGCTCCGTGAGAGGGCAGGTGGCAGAGAATTGTACATAGTAGCCTGTGCCCCTGTCCTTTTTGGGTAAAAATGGTCCTACTAAGCATGGCGATGGAAGGCTTAGAGAAGGTGTGGAAGGACTCCAGGCTGACGCTACATGGGGCTGCTGGGGGCAATATTTAAAACAAAAAACATTGGGACAAAATGCAAAAATACTTCTGGCCTAACGTGAAGTGAAAACAGCATAGAAGTGTCTTTTGATGTTCACACAAATACGTGAAAAGTGACTCTGCAGCTGGCCAAGCCCAGGGCTGGACAGTTGCGGGGGGGGTGGGGGGTGGGGGGGGGCGGGTGCCCAGATTCCTTTGGGAGCAGGACTGTGGGCTCTCAAGCAGGAAAGCCCTGGAGGGAGGCCAGCAGAAGTGCCAGGGTGGCACTGGGGTTCCCGGGGTCCCAGTGTGGAGGCCCCTGCACCTGCACTCACCCCGAGCCAGCGCTGGCCCTTGTTGGTGCCATGGTGCACCTGCACCTTGCGCAGGGAGATGGAGTAGATGACCCCGTTGACCAGCTCCTCACCAATCTCCTGCGTAGAGCTCTGCAAAGACAGTGCCCAGCCGCCGGGCGGGGACGTCAGGGGCCTGCCTGGCTGCTGCTGCAGGGGGATGTCCCATGTGACCTTCTGTTCCCCAGATGAGGGTGCTCAGACAGACCTCCAGTCCAGAATGACACGGATGGCAGCTTGAGGGCTCGGGATTAACATGGGACAGGTTGGCACTGCCCCCAGCACTCCCCTTCCCCCGCTGCCAGCCACAAGCTGGATCTGAACATGAGGAGCCCACCAGGCTCCGACCCCTCAACAACCCACTCCTGCTAGGGTGACCCCCCCGCCAGGCGAATTTACTTGGCCATTTCACAGATGAGGACACGGAGGCTGAGAGAAGAGCAACTTGTCCAAAGTCATGCCACGGAGGATAGATGGCAGACCCAAGATCCCAAGGCGCAGGGCCCGAGGCCCGTGACCCACCTCAGCCTGACCCCTCCTCTGCTCAGCCTGTCCACCCCGCCGCTGACGCAGCAGGAATCAGCATGGGGCTGGTGCAGGTGTGGGGCATCCCTGTGGCCGCAGCCGAGGCCACTTCCTTCCCTTTCTGCTCATTCATGCCCTGTGCCGTCTTGGGCAACAGAGGAGTTCCCAGTTCCCTGTGTGTCATCACGTGCGTGGGGACAGGGTGAGAAAGATGACAGTGCTGGCATCCGGGCTGATGGCGGGGGTTCCACAGAACCCCAAAACCATGGGACTGTGTCATCTGGCAGAAAGGAAAGGCCTTTGTTTTAGGAAGCAGCGACCCCTCCCACTGGGCAGGCTGGGGTCATCAGGGCCTGGCCAAGGCCACTTAGCCATGTTGCCCTGGGCTTCACAGCCCCCTCTCCCACCTGCCCCTGTTCAGGGAAAAGGTGCAATGGGGAGGGGGGCCGAGAGTAAAAATATCAACCTCTGAGTGCTAAGGGAGGAGCTGGGAGATGCTGGCCGGCACACGGCCATCGATCACACAGTCAATGCCAGCTGCTGGGACCACGGGTCACTGCCCTGAGCCAGGCTGAGCATGGAACTCAGAGAAGGCCCAGAGCAAGTGCTGACTCAGCCTGGGCCCCACGATAGCCGTAAAGCCCTCAGCCCAAGCTGGGCCTCCTGTGGGCTGTCCTTCCAGACGTCAGCACTCCCGGGGTCAGAGACCGGGGTCCTGGGCCTCTCACCTCCTGCCCACCCTCAAGGGCTCTGGGAGGCCCAGGAGCCATCCTCTGGAAGTCCACTTCCTCTGACCCGAGGTCGCCCTCCCACTCTGGGCATCGTACCAACGGGAAAGCCGCTGCAATCACACTGGGCTTCCTGACCCTTTGCCTCCCCTGAAGGGAAAGCCAGCCGCTTCTTGGAAGTTAGGAGCGAAGCCACAGGGAGAAGCCCCCGAGCGGAACCTCCCACTCCCACACCCACACAGCCCACACAGCCACACTTGGGGAGGTCCAGACCTTTCATCGAGGAGGGGAAATTCCTCCTCCTGAAGCAGAAAAACGGAAACAGATGCTCGCTTTCCTTCCCCCGCCTCACGTGCCCCTTCCCCACTCAGAAGAGCCCTCGGAGGAGAGGGGCTTCAGAGGCTACAGTGAGGTCGGGGCCGGCTGTCCACCTGCCGGACCAGATGGTCCTGCCACTGTCCACCCCGGCATCTCTTCAGGAGTCCGAGACTGCCTCCTGCAAAGGCTGCCGGCCTGGTGGGAAGGGCCTGTCCTTCTCCTGGGGATTTCAGCCACATCTGGCCCAGCTGGGAGCCAGACAGTGTCCTGAGGGTCCAAGTTGCTGGCAACAGTTTGGCGGTCCCGTGCAGGATGCATCTGCCAGAGGGTGCTGGACTTGAACCCCTCAGGAGCCTGCACAGCACCTGGCTCCCACTGGGGCTCCATCAAGGCCTGCTGGATGGAAGTGCTCCCCGGCCAGGCCAACCCGCGAGAGGGGCTGGGGCAGGGCGGCCTTGCCACCCCCAAGGAGGTAGCATAGCGCATAGCAGCTCTGCAGTGAGCCATGGGCCTCACTGGCAGCGAGCAGCTGGCCAGCCCTGCCTGGGTGTCATGTGATCTCCCAGCCCTTCCCCCACCCCCCAGGGGCCCCCTTCTGCCAGCCGGGCAGGGGGTAGGGCAGGACGCTGAGAGCCACACATGCTGCAATGGGGGGCGGGGGGGGGGGTCACTGCCCTGTCGCACAGATGGGGAGCTGCTCCAGCCCTGCAGAGCTAACCCTGTACTCTCCGGTTCCTCCACTCAGGAACAATAAAACAAGACCGTGAGAGCTACGCTGAGCACAGGACAATTTACACTGTGTGCCAAGAGCCCACTGAGAAGCAGGCTCTCAAGTGAGAGGTCCTGGGTCCCAGGCAGAAAGTGGCAGAGTGGGACATCTGTTCCCTGCTCCCTCCCCCTGCAAGGGACAGAGAAGGAAAGGGGCCAATAGCCCTGGCATTGCCCCTAGGACGCTCTGGGGTAGAAAGGGCAGGGCCCTGGTGCCCGAAAGTGACCCTGGGCCACCCTGTTAGCAGGGTGGACAGCGTCTGGACCCCCAGGGATGCTCTGGGAGGGGCTAGGGAGCTCCTGGGGGAGGTGTGCGCAGGGCAGAACTGAGCTGGCTGTCAGGGGAGAGAATGCCACGTGGACAGCTGTGTCCCCAGGGAACAGATCCCCTTGTCCTGCCTGAAGCAGGCACCTACTCATGTCCCCAGGGCTCTGGGACCCAGTTGGCAGCTGTGCCTTACACACACCGCCTGGCCTCCCACCACCTGAGTCAAGAGGAATGAGGATAGTGTGATGTCCCTATGGTGAGCAGAGGCCGGCACGATAGGCCTCCAGGGTGCCTCTCGCCTCGCAGTTCCTTGGGCCCTCACCTCCTGTGCCCCGTCAAGGGCTCCAAGAGGCCCAGGAGCTGTCCTCTGGAAGTCCACAGGCTGGGGCCCCAGGGACGAGGAGGGGAAACGGCCTGGGTGGCGTCTGTTAGTGTGTCACCTGATCAGCCTTCTGGTGACCGGCCAGCAGGCCGCTGTGTCCCCAACTGGCTGTAGGCCAAGTCTCAAGTCCCTCAAGGCAGAATAACGGGGTTGATTACCCCCATTATTTGGGGACAGACCTGAGGGGACCTACTGGGCCTTCCCACCTCTCCCAGAAGGTGCCCGTGCCTGCACCTATGGGGATGGCACCTTCTCGCATCCTGATCCCCAATCTGCTCTGGCTCCCCCCAGATGCTTTCCCAAGGAAGCTCCAACCAGGCCCACAGATGCCTCTGGCCACAGACCGGCTCCTCCTAAGGAGACCTGACCGAGGGCTGAGATGGACGGAGGGCCTGCACTGAGGTCTCCTCCTATCTCTTCCCCGGCCTGCATGTGGAGGAGTTCGGCCCCACTTGGGCAGGGCAGGGAGTGGCTCTGATCGCAGCGCCCCCATATGCATGAGATCACCCCTTGGCGACCTCGCCACACCCTGCTCAGCTGCTGGCCAGGTCCACTGAGTCACAGAGGTCACCCCGAGGCCCTCATTCGGCCACCCGACAGCCCCCTGGCAGCTCTGAGCACACGGGGACCCTCCCTAGGGCCCAGCAGACCCCACAGCCCCATCTCTCACGGAGGGCTCTGACTCCCAGCTCTGCCAAGCTGCTCGGCCATTGTCGTCAGTGAGCTCGTCTATGAAACGGGGCAAGAGCAGCCGCCCCCAACAGGCAACAGCAGGGTCACGAGAGAACGCAGGCAGCGCGCCTGCTCTGCACCCGGCACATGAAAGCGCTCGGGAAAGGGGACCGATGCCGCTGTTGCTGGTGGGGAACACTCGCCCCGCCCCCAGCCCCCATGAGCTGGCTGCTGGGGAACACCAGGCTGTGGGAAAGACCCCCCGGGAACCCTGGGAGACCGGCCAGGGTCCCGGGAACCTGGAGAAGGGCCTGGCACAGGGGGCAGGTCACCCGAAAGCTCTGCAGGTGGGAGCCAGCCCGGCAGCTTTCTGATTTTCTACGTCTTTGCTCAAATACAGAACCCAAAACTGAGACAGATCAGAGAGGGTTGCTGAGCCTCTCAGGGCTCCCAGTGTGAACACTGTCACACGCCCATTTTGCAGAGCGGAGACAGGCTAGGGGACAGGGTCAAGTAGAGGGTGTCCAGGCTGAGAAGAGAACCCAGAACTTCTCAAGTCCAAGTCCTTGTTCTTTTAGACAATAGGCCCAACAAGGCAGCGAGAAGGAAAATGCCAAGCCGGCTCGACCCCCCCTGGGGTGCAGCAGGGTCCTGCCCTCAGGCCTGCATCTTGAGCCCAGAGGCATGGACAGGACCCCCGCCAGGATGCAAGGCTGGCCTTGGATGGGGTGGGCCACACTCCTGGTCCCACAGAGGCAGCCTCAGCCAGGGACCACACAAGGTGCCTGGTTGCCCTGGTTCGGTGATCCCAGAAACTGGAGTTTGGCGACCAGCCTGTGCTGAGGCCCCGAAGGCTGACCCATCTCCCCAAGAATCCTCCCCATCAGCTTGAGCCCAGCTACCCGTCAGCATTTAAAGAGAAGGAAAAACGTGCCTCAGGTGGGGCTGGGAGACACACCCATCCTCCTGATTGTCAGACCAGCAGACCAGCAGGGGCCAGGCCTGCAAGGGGTTGTTGCTGAGTGACGGCTGAGGAGGAGGATGGCCTGGTTCTGAGAGGGTGCAGGGAGGGGATGGCTGAAGGTCCACCCTCAACACCCACACCACTGACCACAGCGTCCAGCACGTGGGCACTTCCTGGGTGTCAGGCCCTTCGCATACTCCTCACATTTAATCCTCCCAACACCTCACTTGATGGATGAGGAGAGAGCCAGGCAGGAACTCGCCCGGGTCAGGAGCCAGGATGTGGCAGCTGGGGCAGGGACTTGAACCCGACCCAGGCCTCATCCCACCGGTGGCTGCCATGATCACGGCCTCAGAGCAGAGTCCAGCCCCTGGTCACACAGATGTGGGAGAGACTAGAGACAGGAAGGACTTCCTCAGGTTGCACAGCCAGTTGGGGGTGGTGGGGCCCAGCTCCCTTGCATCTGCA